GACTTTATTGCCTTTCTTGGGGTGAAACGTTTAAAGAAGTTTTGTTGTGCATGGGTAGTTTTGTTGTAGGGCCTGTGATCATTACTTGACAGGTAACCCTTGAATGGGGAATGTAGTATTATTTATGAGTCTATATTGCTTTAGCCTAGCTTGGGCGTGGTATTTCTTTTCTTTTATAATTTCCTACCACCTCCCTCCTTAGTGTGTGTGACATTTTCAAATGTATTAATGTATCTCATGTCTTGTTTGTTAAATATCATGGGATAGTTAAGTATGCATTCGAAAAGCTAAGCAAAGTATTAAGAAACAGAAAAATTAAACTGAACCATCCTCCTGTAGGGCAATGAATGCTGAACAATTTTCTTTAAAAGAGGTAGCAGAAATTCTACAGGAGGATGATGAGGATACCATGGACCAAACATGTGAACAACGTCTAAATTTGGAAACAAAAAGGAAACTTATACTTAACATCAGGAAGAGAATTGAAATTTATAGTACACATAATGAGGAAAGAAGGCTTGGAAAATTTGATACTCATAGAGTAGATTGAAGGCAAGAATGGCATAACATAGTGAGCTTAAGTAAATGGATGACAGAACAGGGTTTGGGAAAAATAACAAAAAGACAGAATTTATTAAGAGCTACAAAGAACAGGATATTTTGGATGATCTCCTCCTCATGAAGGGACATGGAATTTGGAAGATTGTATCTGAACATGTGTGTGATAGTATCTATATAGTAATTTATTTTACCAATTAAATCTATTACTTTTTCAGTTAGCACGAATAGGCTTGTAGGACTTTTGTAGGCGGCTTTTTTGTGGAAATGATATTCACTGAGTCAGCCTAAATTTATTTTTTAAGCCTATTTAAACCTAGGGATATGGGAATTTATTTTGAAAATGAATTTTAATTCTGATTTTTTACGAGTTCTGTTGGCAGCTAAAGGAAGACACCAAATGAACACATCTAATGTTATCAATAGTCAATGGTTGGTTGAAATGTGCAGCTAGAATGAAACTGATATTGTTTTCTAGGATAGTTTTTCTGTGGTTAGTAATGACTAGCAGTATAGCCCATAAGAGATAGATCAAGTATCAACCATCATAAAGACTGAAAAATAAATTTGACAAAGATTATTGTTTAAGGCTGACAGACACTGATGTCTTAATTAGTTTTCTTTTTTTTTTTTTTTTTTTTTTACGAATTGGTCAAACTCAAACAAAAACATTGTTTTCAATCGTTATGAGTCTACCGATTGAATAGAATTTTATTATAAACAATTGTCTTGTAAATGGAATTTTTAAAGCATTCTGAATGTAAAAATAAAGAAAAAAGTGTGTAAGACAATAAGAAACACTACCTGCCAAAAAACAAAAAAGTGGTTTTGTTGAAAAATGTAGGAAATCCGATCCCATATATAAATGAACACACACAAACAACCTGGGTTTTATAATAAGTATAACTCGATATGAGTTGTCCCCCTTTCATTCTCACGATGCCTCTTGTGTTTTCAAATTGATTTCGTGCAAAAACAATTGTTTTTCCAATTTTTTGGCGCTGTTAGAACCACCGCAAGGTAATTTTACGTAGTCCTGTGAAGTTTTGTTGAAATCGGTTGAAAAATGTAGGAAATCCGATCCAATATATAAACGTACAGACACACACACACAACCTGGGTTTTATAATAAGTATGATGTACCAGTTTCCTTGAAGTAATTACCTTCGTTACACTTGTTGCAGCAAATTAGATATTACATTTGAATTGTCACAAGTGTGTGTGTGTACCAGGTGGGGTACTGTCAGTGATAAGATGTCTACAAACTTGGCATCGGTGTTTATTAAATATTGTCTTGATGAGTGGGTGGTTTTGATAGTCTAGGCAATTTTTCTCGTCAGAATACATCTTGTGCATTTATAAATTGTCTATTCATTGCATATTGCTTGTCATACCTTGTTTGGTGATCTGGCTATATATCTCAAGATTCTTGACAAAATTCATAGAACCTGGCATCTCAAAATTTCAGTCACTTTCTCACCACCGTGACATGCCTTCCCACTGTCTTTTCTATAAATATTTTCATGACTCTCCTCCTTGGTACCTTGATGTATGAATGTAAGCATAGTACTAGATTAGCAATTAGGTGTCATCATTTTTCTGTTGAAACCCTAAGTTATGTTCTAGTTTCTTTTCTCACCTGTTGAACTCTCTTCCAGTTTTTTGCTTCCTTGCCACCTACAATCTTCAAACATTTAAATGCTATGTCAATCGTCATTTTCCTGAATCCCATTTTTTTTTATTGCCATTTCTTCTCATTAGTCTTATTCTCTTCCACTCCCAGTAATCTGCTGCGTCTTAGTGGCATTATTGCCTTGCTTGGGGACGAAATAATTTTAAAAAAATTCAAGATCAGTTTTTCATTGTCTTCTTTATATCATCCTCATTGTGAAAACTGAATATAAAATATTAGAAATGTTTGGAAAATAATATCCGATTTAAGATTAAAACCTATAGCATTATAATAGTTACACAAAAATATATTACCTATTCCTAGTGATTAAAGTGTGCGCTTTGTTTATTTTAATATCTCTTTCAGAATTTAACTTAAAACATATAGCCCTCATCTTGGACATATACGAGTTCAATGGCTTCTCAAGTTAGTTTATTATAAACACAGCATTTACTTAAATATTTATATCTATAAAAATAACATAAACAATAAATATATGTTTATTTATATATATATATATTTATTTCTAAGATATTTCTCTGACACTTTGATGTGGGCTTAGTCAACACCTGAAAACAATAGCTGGACAATCAATTGCAGACATTAGCAGAGCATGGGGTGAAGTATCCACTTGTGATTGGACAGTATGGTGCTGATTTCTGAAGTTCCACAATGGAGATACCATTCTTTGAATATCAAGGTGGTAGAGAACGTCTATCTGCAGTTGAAATGGAAAATTTTAAAAATAGCAAGGACATGTAGATCCTTATATGAAACTGGTTTTCTATGTTTACATGAAAAATTGGAAATTATCAGGTTCTTTGATAAGAATTCTTTATTAAATCAAAGATCCAAATTAACAGTAAATTGTAAACACAGTCTACCTTTTACCTTACAATTCAGTTAAACTTTGGAATTTGACAATGTTTTTCTTAGAATTTAGTTGAACTGTGTTGTACCCAATATGGCTTATATCTTTCTATTTGTATCATTAATTTGGGTTTAATTTAGTTTTGTAGTGATTTCCTGGAAGTGTTATTAACAACTTATTATGTACTAGCAGTAGAGCCCGGCGTTGCCCGGGGATGTAAAAGTAAGAGATAGATCAAGCATCGCCCATCATAAAGACTCAAAAATAAAATTGACAAAGATTATTGTTTAAGGTTGACGGACACGCATGTCTTAATTATTTTTTTTTACAAATTAATCAAACCCAAACGCAAACAAAAACATTGAATAGAATTTTATTATAAACAATTGTCTTGTAAATGGAATTTTTAAAGCATTCTGAATGTATAACTAAAGAAAAAAGTGTGCAAGACAATAAGAAACACTGCCTGCCAAAAAAAGAAAAAAGTGAGTTTTGTTGAAATCGGTTGAAAAATGTAGGAAATCCGGTCCCATAAACGAACACACACAAACAATCTGGGTTTTATAATAAGTATAACTCGATATGAGTTGTCCCCCTTTCATTCTCGTGATGCCTCTTAATCGTGTTTTCAAATTGATTTTGTGCAAAAACAATTGTTTTTTCCAATTTTTGGCGCTGTTAGAACCACCGCAAGGTAATTTTACGTAGTCCTGTGAAGTTTTGTTGAAATCGGTTGAAAAATGTAGGAAATCCGACCCAATATATAAACATACAGACACACATACACAATCTGTGTTTTATAATAAGATTAGTATTTGGTTAGTATTTTTGACATTTTTACATTGATTGGTTGATATTATTAACATCTTATATGGATATTTATTTAACAGTTGCATATTATTTACCAAATAATTCTATGTTTAGATTATTTACTAGTCTCTTAAAGAGGCCTCTTATTTATCAACTACAAAAAAAATTATGTAGGAAATCCACAAAGGATATAACTAGTTGGGCATTCAGTTAAATTACCTTATTTCTTATGAAAATGGATCTTCTTCCGATGTATACACTTATTGTAACCATCTATATCAACCTTTAAGTTACTGTCTGGATGCTGTTAGATGTCAACTCCTGGCCATGACACATTTCTAAGATAATGATTTCAATTAGTAGATCAGGGTAAAGCCTTCAAGCCCCATAAAAAAAAAAGAAAAAGAAGTAGATAATTTTGCTTTTGAAACCAAATTGTTCATTTACAATCACCTGAGGAGATGCATTGTTATGAATTGAAGCAGGATTGTAATTGTGTAGCGATTCTTGCGTCTGTTGTAGTATCCGAATATATACTATATACATACACACAAACCTATAGTATTTTTTTATGCAGAAAAGTTATCCAGATTTGATTTTTGGGGGGAATCAAACCCTATCATAGCAAATTCTTATTGTTATTCTTTTTACAAATCTATAATCAATACCAATTTTCCATTCTAATTTTTATTAGTTCTACTAAGTATTGATCAGTTTAAACAAGTTACTGGAAACAAGTTCGTACTGGTACAACCACACCAATGACAACTTGAGACTGTCCTGGTTCTGGAAGGCTTAAGTAGAATTGCTGTCCCTTGATCTCAGTGCTAATGACTAAACACCTGAAGAGCAAATGAAAAAATAGCAAAGAGAAAGGTACAAGATATGTGAATGAAAACAAACAAATAAATTGAAAACATAATTCTTTTAATTTTTTTTATAATATATATATATATATATATATATATATATATATATATATATATATATATATATATGCACACACACACACACACACACACACACACACACCCAGCCCAAATCCCATACCTCATAAAAAGTAATAGCAACAATTAAGTCCTAATGCTATCACTTCATTGGTCCAAGAAGGCCAAAGCCTTTACTGCGTTTTCGGTCTGCAAGTGCACGTCTGTTGTGGTTGGCACGACTTCCTTTGTGCTTCTCTTTCCATTGTCTGTTGTGGATGACCTCCTGAGATTGTCCTTTACCCTTTGCACGACCTCTGACATCATGCACAGGCTTTTCTTCTTGCTGCTGCTGTATGACTTTCCTTCCAGACCAACCACGATTACCTCCCCTTTGTGATCGCCACCTCTGCTCACGCATTTCTCGCAGCTTGGCTGGGTCTTCTATAAAACGGTCAGGGGCTTTTGCCGCTTCCTCCTCCTCCTGTAATAAAGATTATATGAAGGTTATTAAATTTTTTCTATTTTATCAGAAACAGTAAATTATCATTTTTAACAGTCCTTGAATTTATTATTTGATAATACTGGCTGGCAGCTCATATCCAAGTGTTCTAGGCAATCCCTGTTACAGACGCCAGCTCAGGCACATTTGTGTTTGTTCAACTTCCATAGAATCAAACTGAAGTTTATACTGCAACTATGTTGAGCAGACTTTACAGTTTCTAGAAGACGACGCATCATCTGGTGTGATCAATAATTAGAACAAGGCCAGTATGCTTGTTGTAACTCAACAGTGTTAAAATAGTCTAACCTGAAGAATAAAGCTATATCTAGTTTAACTGGACGACCTGTTTCCAAAAATCTTTTTACATTAATAAACTGCAAAATCGGCCTAAGGGAAATAACTCCAATTATATTACATACTAATTACAGAGTTACTGTCCTTGCCTTATTATAAATTCATAGGCATAATAAGGAAAGCTTAAAGCTTAGTTTACAATCTTTTACCTGATTTGTCCTTTCAGGACGTGGGTGATCATGGCTCTCCACAACTTTTCGCTGTCCCTATTTTGGCAACCATTTATACAAGCTCGTTAATTATATTATGTGCTGCTTTCCTCCCCCCGCCAACACTTGCTGCTAATGTCCTGTGAGTGTCAAATTTTCTAAGCCCTCTTTTCTCATTATGTACCCTAGAAATTTCAACTGTATCTTTCTAAATGTTAAGTCTAAGTGTTCTTTTTGTTTCTAATTTTTCTAAAAGTTCGTCGTTGCTCACATGTTTAGACCATAGTATTCTCAGCATCCTTCTGTAGATCCATATTTCTGTTGCCTCAAGAGTCTTCTTCATCGGTGATGAGATTGTTCAGCATTTACAAAGAAATTATAAATACTCTAACAGGGATCAGAACTGAAATTGAGTGGAGACTGCCAAAAAGTCGTATTTAATCAAATAACGTAAGAAAATCTTTCCTGTGCATAAAACTTATAAAACTGGAAAGCCTTCTGTAAAAATCTCTTTACCAGAGAATCTCTGCTAGTGTTATGAAGTTGTATCTATCCTGGTACATATCACAGTTTCATTCATAATTACAACTGACACTGATCCCTTTTATAAAATGGCAATTCTTTGTCTTATAGCTTTTTATGGTGGCATAAATACACTACAAATAAAATGATAATGAACAGACATTATCTAGATTTGTAAAATACAACATACACATTGCTTTTGTCTTCCTTAACCAGGACAGAGATCTTTGTCTTGTACTGGTTGACAAGATATTTTGCTGTTATTATTACAAATGGTGACAGTGCAGTGGAACTTTAGCTAGAGTGGCAAAATGACAATTTTTCACTGAAATTTGCTGAGGCAAAAAAAAAATGCCAGTTCCAAGAAGCTGAACAATCTTTTTGTGCATAGTTTTTGATGAGCGTGTTCTTGGTCAAAATGACAGAAACTATTTGTACCAAAAACTTATGATGCTGTTATTTTGATGCTGTCAAGAAAGACACAAAAAGCATTCAAATTTGTGTGCTATTTAGAATGACCTTCTGCAATTCATGGAGTTGGACTGATAGTGACTTGTCATGATAGTGGCATGATGACCAACATTCCAAATAAGAAAGAGAACTTTTTTCAAACAGTATTTGATTGACAATAAGAATTTTATGAAACGACATTAATGTGTAAACATTTTCTTTTGAAACAGAAGAAAATGATTTTAGTTTTAATGTTTCTTTTTACAGATTTTTGAAAAAAGTTTTAAAGATGAAAAAAAAAAGTAAAAAGAATGTAGTGAAGATCTTAAGATTACTCTTTGTAAAGCATTTTGTATTCCTTAAGTGCAAGTGACTTAGATTTTGTCTTATAAGTGTTATTTAAAAAAAAAAAAAAAAACTACTTGGTTCTATTGAGCCCTTGCTGCCTCCTATGAGCACACCACACACCCCCTTTACAAACCTACATGAGGATTTTCAACAGCAACAACAAAAATGGATAACACATCTAACTGGAAGAGAAAATAATCGCATAATCAAAATGTAGACATTCCACACCACTTCAAATAAAAGGTTAGGAAAGAAATTTTTAATAAAATTCAACCAAAAGCAATACTGACTGCTCGGTCAATGAATGCTAAATGATTTCTTGTGTAGTAATGGCTAATATTACCATTACAACAGTCCATTTGTGGTCTAAGATGAACTTGAGTTCCACTAGATGTTCAAAACAATTAGCCCATTGAAATTGAAATTTTAGAGCAGTGAGTTTTCAATTGCATTGTGCATGAAACACTGTAATGAATCCGATTGAAATTTGATCTCACATTCTGAGCCACTACACCACTCGCCCCCTCCACAGGTCCCTGGTAAATGGCACAAATTAGAAAGATATACTTTTTTTTATCCATGCTACTTATTACAGATTGAAGAAAAATGGCACAATTAAAAGTCAAGAATGGAAAATTCAAGATAACATTACTGTATGTTAAGTTGTTCTTTTTTTTTCTATTATTTTAGTTAAAGCCTGTGGTCATGTTGGAGATGAATATATTATTGGTCCTGACCTGGCATCTCTGCTTCAGTCAGTTTCCCCACTGCCATAATATAGCTTCCCTCTGCCTTTTCTATAAATACTTTCATGATGATTGTTCTGGTGAACTTTCTTCTATGTATATTAAATTGTATTCATTTTAAATATTCATTAGGGTTTCATTTTAAAATGTTGTTATTTTTATTTCCCACCCCCACATATAAATTGTACATATGGAAACTAATTAAGACTTCATAGAGACCATGAGGTATTATGGTGACTGTAGTAAAAATGCTAAGTAAGAATTTGTTGTTTATTTTGGTGCAAGGAATACTGTGTTATGTTTGGGTTAGTAATTGTGGTTAGCTAAGTCTAAGAAAGATGGAAGACCAGTCTTCTCCTACTTTCCTTTTTGGCCTTGTGCCACATTTTTGTATTATTCAAAATAAATATGACTATGGTACCTAGACTTTACAAATTTAAGCGCAGTACTAGATTGGCAGTAAGGTCTCATCATTTTACAGTTGAAATGGCTAGATGCAACCATAAGTTCTATGCTAACAGTTTCTTCTATTGCATTTCTTGCTCCTCTAACTCTCCCCTAGTTTGTTGCATCTCTATCAACTTTGACCTTCAAACATTTAAATGCACTATCAATCATCATCTTCTGTCTTAATTCTTGTTCTTTTGTTGTCTTCTCTCCTTAATAGTATATTTTTCTCATATTCTCTAACACTCAGTAACCTCTTGCATTTTACTGGCTTTATTGACTTACTTCAGGTGAAATGACAAGATGAATGAGAAATTGTTACAAAGAACTTACCTCAGATGATGTTTCTGATCCATTAACAGCTGCCGTTGCTCCATCATGGGATGTGCTTGCAAGCACTCGTGGCACAGTGAATGGCCTGTCATTAAATAGAATATAAAAATCTTCATATGGTAATTAAATCATTTCAAATCCATATTCAATGGCTGAAAGTAGATTACTTTTTTCAATTTACAAATTCCCTATTAGTATTTGATAAGCACAATTGCTAGTGCATAAAACAACCTCCAAAATTTCTATTTAAAATGTAGGCTTTTAGCTACACTCAACTGTATGTCAAGCACTTATCAGTGAGAGCTTATGGCCTCAGCAGTACTTTAACAGACACACACACATATATATATATATATATATGATTTAAGAAACATGTTTTTATATATAGTGCTCAATATTAAAATATTAAAAATAGAACATTAATAATATTATATAAAAAAGATTACTTTAAATATAAATTTTTTTGTTGTTTTCTCCGACTTCGAAGTTTCTTGGTAATGTCCATTCTTCAAGAGATTCTGTTTTTTTTAAATGATATTCCCTATTTTTTCAATTTATTCCATGTTTTTTCAATACGTTTTGTACGTGCGCATTCATGAATTTATGCTTTTATTTATAATCTTCATTTTTTTTCAGTTGCATGTGTCATGCGCATTAAAATCATAGATAATTTAATGCACATGATACAATACTGACCAATGAGAATCAATCCAAACAAAATTGAAAATACCAAAGTTGTCATTTTATCTGCTTTCTCTCAATCTCTGATGAAGCTTTAAGAAAGTAAAACAGATTAGATTGATATACATTTCCTATTTCTTATATTTTATTATATATATATATATATATATATATATATATATATATAGTGGTGTAAAAAAAAAAAAAAAAACAGAAGAAGAAGGCTAGTACAATTTGCAAATAAAAATATATTAAAACAAATTGGTACCTGGAGAAAAAAATTTGGAAAAAAAAAACAAAACAAACAAAAGACTAAAAACATCTGAGTATGCCCGGAAAAAGAAAAAGAAAAAAAAAAAAAAAAAAAAAAAAAAAAAAAAAGAAAAAGAGGCCATTGTTGTAATTTTTAGCCCAAAGGAAAGGAAAGGAAAAAAAAAAAAAAAAAAAAAAGCAAGTAAAATAAGAAAAAAAAAAAGTGCTCAATACACTAAGCAGAGCAGAGTATAAAAAAAAAACCTAGTGAGCCAGAAACTACCTACCTAGGTTTCACCTAAATGGATCTTCAGATAAGCTGATCCATTTAGGTGAAACCTTGGTAGGTAGTTTCTGGCTCACTAGGATTTTATATATATATATATATATATATATATATATATATATACACACACACACATCTTGCACAATGAGTGCTGGTGTTAATAAAATAGTGCTCAATGTAATATAACAGAGCTATTAAGTACATATCAATAAATATAGATTATTCCTCATTGGTAGCACAACTCAGTTTTTTTTTATGGTTTTAGGTCAGTTTATTTTTAGATAAATTTTTTTTGAAAAACCCAATAATCCCTGTTTATGTTTAATATGAAATATTAATCTAGACTTTAAATAAAAATTAATTTTTTTTTTTTTTTTATATAGTTTTAGTTCCATCTATCTTAATAGATTATTTTAATAAATACCATTAATACCCGTTTAGTTTAAATAAAAAATAAAATATTAATCCATGTTCATTTTAAGTATAAAATCTAAATCCAGTCTATTTTAAATGCAACATATGCCTTTTTTTTATAAAATAATAATATATGGACTGTGGCAGCATTGCATTAATTTATTAAAATTTGAATTCTGAAAATTGCGTTGAGTATGAAATTCTGAGTCTTGCTACTGGTGTGGTATTATATATATATATATATGCGCACACACACACACACACACGATAATGTTCTTAGTCACTTACCGTCGACTGATCAGGTCATCTGAATTATCTACATCAGCAACAACTGCAGCACTGGCATCAAAATCATCATATGTGTCATCATACTCATCATTGTAGAGGTTGGCTTCCAGCAGATGTTTGTCATAGATCGTGTCTGCATCAACTGACCCGTATAGCTCATATGTTGGCCGAAGCATTTGTAATTCAGCCTTATCGTTAAGTTTGATTTCCTCAACATAATTTCTGAAGCAAAAGAATAATTTTTTCTATGTAAAGACAAATAAAATAACATGGATAATCATAGTAAAAAAAAAAAAAAAAAAAAAAAAATCAATATACAATATTATTCTTGCAAAATAAAAAAAAAGTTTTGAAACAATTTCATTCTTTTTTGTCAGCTTGTTTTTTCTTTTTCTTTCAATGACTATACTCTAATGTAGGTGGATGAAGGCAACTATACCACAATACACTCCCAATAAGAAATAATATTTGTAGCTATAGTAAAATATAATCATACAAAAAAATTAAATGGTAATGGTTCTGAGATGACAAGTACTTACATTTCTTTTTTTTTTAATTTTAGCACAATTAATTTAGCATTATTAATATGACTTCTATTTTCACTGCATTCTTTTTCAAGGCCTCTCAATTGCAGTATCCTTATTGTTAATTTCACTCAAAGTTGTTTTCTGTTGCTATAGCAGGAGATGACAACACAACTATGAAATTCAAACGCACTATTATTCTGGGATCAGAGTCACTAGAGTGGAAAGATAAACTTTTCATACAGCAAATGAAGTCACAGAGTGATAAAGGTTTAAATCAGAAACTGTTGCTTGAAAACATGGCTCTCCACATCTTCCCTTTCTACATCTGTAAATTGTGTATTGCCATGACTCAGGAAAGATATGAGAGGTTTCCTGTTGCCTTCTCTACTGTTTTCAAGTCAGAGTTGCCTTTCTAACCAATTGGTTGACCTTCCAAGGCTAGAGAGCAAAGTTTACCGTATGATTTTTATCTATGACTGCGAAGATGGATTGATGCGCTCTCCAGGCTTTAATCTGTTTGCTGACCCCATTTTTCACACTAATAACCCCCTTAAAACTACCCACATGTCCATATTTCGCCTGCTGGCGGTCTCTGTGGCCAAACTGGCATCGTCAAACTCCCAACGATGTCAATTCTAATCCTGACAGATGTTACTTCACTACTGCCAATGTCATTTTTTTTTTTTTTGAAAATACTAAACTACACTCAATGCAAGGCGTGGGAGCCACTCAAGCTAGAGGGTTACATTCAACAAAATGGTGATGCTGTAAGAGGTGTACGATATGAATGGAAGATGTTAAGAAATGAAGATTATGAGGATAAGGAGGATGGATGGATGTTGGATTTAACGGCATGTCAACTCCTATTTGAGGATAAGGAGGAAAGACGACAATTGACCTTTGATGGAAGTATTCAGTCAAGTGAGTTTTGGGGAAAAGCTGAGTGGAACATTTTGTTTGAACATTTTTCTTACATCTGGAATACAGATGAGGGGGGGGATTCAACTTCATAGGATGGGGTATCCCAGCTGTAAAGGTCTGCACTTGTGGAACAAGACAATGGAATATTTGCCATGGAAATAGCAGTAGCATTGCAATGTTGCGTCTGTGGAAAAGTGGCTGCTGAGTGTAAAACAAGTCATCACCTACAAGACCAAATAAACGATTTTGAACATTATCACAGCTGGAAAGGGAAGATTGGACAGCTCCAGCTCAGATATGAAAGCAGTACACCATTTCTGGTTTAAACATGACTCTTGTAAATATAGAGCATAGCATAGAAGTGATGGAATCAGCTGACCATTTTCCCAGCATCTTTGGCAACGGATTGTATATGTGAGTTCCATGAGGTCTGGAGGGAACTTGAAACCCAATAGACCTTCAAGGTACGAAGCTTCGTAGAGAGTGCAATTTTTCAAAACTGATGCACTGAACAGTGACAATGAAATGATACTAGCTTGGTTTTGGAGGTACTTCGTTTCAGCTATTTATTTAAACAGTGAACTGTTTGAGCAAAGTAAGAGTTGAGATTAACGGCAAAACTCTGGTCATTTTTGGTTCCAGCATCAGACATAAAAGATTTAAGGGTTGTAACAAAAGTAAAAAAAAAAAAAAAATTCCCAGCCATTTTCAAAGGATTGCTGGAAAAGCAATGCCTGCTCTAGCATTATCATGGGATGTTGCTTTATTTATGGCTGGCATGTGACGAAACATTTTTACTCACTTCTTGCCCTTGTGGATTTTCGTTGTGTCGATTGAATTCCGGTGAAAGACATCAAACTCATCATAGTCACAAACGTTTCGGCGTTGATCGAGGACAGATGGTGGTGGTGAAGGAACACGCTGTATTGTCTGGCCCCTGCAACACAACAAATTTAAATCAGACCAAAATCCAATACTCTACCTCAGAGCTGATTATACCAGATGTTTGTGGTTCCACCCCAGGTCAAAGCTAAAATCTTTGAATATTGATTTCTAAAAGACACCTTTGCCCTTGATGGAATGGTACAAAACCAGCTTCCTGTCTCCAGTTCCAACCTGTTTGGCCTCATGTGAGACCAAGCTAAATTTAATATTGACAGGACAAAAATACAAAGAAAATGGTTATTTGAAGGCAATTCTTTCCATTTGATGCTTTCAATTTCAATTTAATTAAAACAAAAAACAAATTGAAGGGAAACATTGTCCAAGTTATGCAATGAAAAAGTGAAACTCTTTTCTGAGAGACCGACAGTTCCAAAATTCTCATGAAACTGGTATTTGTCATCCCCACCTCATCCAAGGGTAAATGCTGCACAGAATTTAATGTGAAGGATCCTCCCATGTATATGTAGATAAAGATAAAAATTGTTATGTTTCCTCTGGCATTAAATTCCCAAGGAAGACTAATGAAAAGCTTTCCGTTGGAGATACCCAAGATAAGCACCAAATGCACAATAGGATTTTAAAAAAGGAAAGTAAATTATGGATACAGTAAATGATGAGGATAAAAGAATTATGAAAATCAATTACAATAAAGTCAATTAGCATCTGGAATTGTCTAAGCTTGAACTTTAAAGATTTAACAAGCTTAAGCTATTAAGATCCGATAAAACAATCAGATTTTAATACCTTAAACATGGAGTTTGTCAACATTCTGGCAATACACAACACAGACCTTTGTGTAGTCAAGTGACTCCTGCCAGTTGTAACAAGAGCATCAGCCTGCTTAGCTTGATCCTAATTCATAGCAGCAACTGGATCACCATTATGTGGCTTGTCACTATGATCTATTTCTCCTTCCTCTCTAGAGTTGTCATTAACCCATATTCTGCAAATACATCAAGTATTGGATGTAACAAACCTGACTGGAATTGGAACTCAGACCTCCAATTCCAAGCCATTATCTATAATACCACGCTAAACAATGCCTGGTATTTCCAAATGGTCATACATTTAGGCACTGACCAAGACTGACATTGCTTAACTTTACTGATCATATGTGGAATGGGGTTTCAATGTAACATGGCTGGCTATAAGCCTTCTCTTAGGTTGTTTGCCAACAAAAGAAGAAATCCCCAATCTGCTATACTTTTTAACCCATAGATAGGGGAAGTAAAGAAATGGAGTCATGACTTTTTCAATGTTAAGAAAGTGAACTGACCACAAAACTAACACAGGTAGAATTTGAACTCTGCTCACCTATGGAATTTTTTTGTACTTTTAAACATTAATTTCCAATGCATCTCCAATAGTGACTTAGTATTTGGGAAAAAAAAAAAAAAAGTGTTTCAACATGATGTGGCTGTAAGCCTCTTGGCATAAGCCCTGAAGACTGAACAAACTTACCTTTCCATTGAACGATCCAACGTAAGCAATGATGTGGGCAGCTTGTCCTCTAACAATGTATTGATCACAGATTCTGCATTGTAGTCCATTTCAATCAAACACATCTATTTGAAAATTTTAAAGTAGAAAGAAATATACAGAAATAAATACAAAACCACCATTATTTCAGGCAACAATTCTTAATAGTAATTTGTGTTTTGAAAAACTGTATGCCTTAATCATAAAGTAGATCTAAATGTCAAATTAAATTTTTTTTATTTTTTTTATTTTAAACATTAGCCAGGCTAGGTCCTGTTTGAAAACAGAATTTTGTATTTTGCTTCTTGTAACATTTTAGGCAATTCAAAAAAATTTTTAGTTGTGTCAGCAAACTAGCTACATAACCCATAATTTGAATGCCAGGAGCAAAATAGTGAAGAAATCTGAAAATCACAAACCTACCTCAATGAATCCTTCTCCTAAATCTGGGAAGAGGTCCTTGACAGAGTAGATAAGGGACTCTAGTTCAGCCCCTGCAGGCGTGGCAGCACATGCCCCTTCACAAATATAATCTGGAGGCTAGAAGCAGAAACCAAAAATGAGAGTCAATTATAATATTAAATACAAATAAAAAGGGACAAGGAGACTTTGCCATTAAATATTTTTATAAAAAAAAAGATAATCTCACAACAATTTCGCTTAATTTATCAGATTTCTATTTCTTTTCTACTGCCGAGGTCCAGATCAGCTTCGAACTGATTCTTCTAACACATTTACCTAGTACATATATTACAGAGAATAGCCCTATTTTGTCAGTGATCTTCTATGTGTATTGTCCATTCAGGATGTAGGCGATCATGGCCCTCTACAATTTCCTATCCTCTGTAGCACTTAATAAATTGTCTTTTTGATATTCCTCCTAAACCTTGTTCCACCATCCATTTACTCAAGCTCACTAAGTAGGTTATTCATTGTTTTTCTGTCCCTCAATCTGTCCTGTGAGTATCAGATTTTCCAAGCCCTCTTTCCTCATTATGTGCCCTAAAAATTTCAACTATTTTCTTTCTGATGTGAATTATGTTTCTTTTTGTTTCCATTTTCTCTAAAACTATGTTGTTACTCACATGTTCGATCTATGTTATCCTTATCATCCTTCTATAGAACATTTCTGTTGCTTCAAATCTCTTCTTCATCTTTGTGGAGATTTTCCAGCATTCACTGCCATATAGGAGGAAAGATGTCACACAACAGTTCCATACTCTTTTCTTTGTTTCTGTTATAGTGGAACACACCTATTCTATAGTTAATAGACTCTCCCACCTATAATAAGTAGGAGTAGTAAGAATAACGAGTCAGTTGCTGGGTCGCTCAGTGAGTTGGTCAGTCAGTCGATGCCGGACGACCATTAGTCGGATACTAAAGTATCAGTGCCAACAACTAGATTTCTCTGCATCATTACCTATTATATCAAGTTCCTAATGTTTTGTATGTCAAACCTATTTTTTTAGGACCGACTTAGTACAACTACAAGCCTCCACTGTGAAACTACTCCATAACACACTTGGTGACAAGGTATTCGGATTCATACGGTGAAGAAAAAAAAAAATTTCACACTCCATAACAAATTTGGCCACAGGATTTGGATACATACAGTGGAAGAGAGAGAAAAAAAAAATTGCGTTCACCACAGTATTATTTGGCAAAGGGATTTGAAATTCATATGGTGGAAGAAAAAAAATTCGCTCGCCACATTATTTGGTGATGAAATTCGTACTCATAGGGAGAAAAAAAAAAAAAAAAAAACTTGGCAAAGTTTTTCAAAAGACAAGACATCAACTTAGTGACAAAAAAAAAAAAAATCTGTCGTATTCTCAACTGAGAAAAGGATTTTTTTTCTCTCAATAATACAGTTTGTTCAAATAGGTCATGAACTGAAAATTCGTAGGACCCCCTTTACAATATTTAAGTATTGTGTAAACTTTTTGCAAAGATGGAGGAATGCAAAAATATATAAACTGGAAATGCTATTTTAACATTCTACCTGGCAAACTTACATTGATATTCTTACCAAAATATTTGGTTTGGTTTATTTTGTTTCACAGCACATAAATGGGTTACTTAATGCAGACAAGATTTTTAGGATATGTTTGTATGAATAGAATATGTATTAATATTTTTTTCTTCGAAAATGTATTGCTGGTATTTATACTATAAAAATCTATTTTTATACTTTCATAGTGTTTTGACTCCAAGTTGGGGGGTTAACTATTTGCCTGTAGCTGAGACCCTAACAGGTGCTGCCATCCTGGGAAGAATAGCAATTAAGAGATGGTTCCACACTGCAAAACCCAGAATGGCTAAAAACTCTGGTCCTGAGTACTTTAGAAGTATAGTCACATGCAATGCTAATACGACGTTTTGTTTAGGGATAATATCCATCAATGTCAATTGAGGGGGGGGGACGTATATAAAGCAAAACATGCATTTATGTAGTTACTCTACCAGGAATGCGTGCATGGTTTGCCAGAAGACCATGTGGTTAGTTTGTCCACAATGACTGCACAGGGATTTCATGGTGAGTTGGCCCAAAATTTGAATAATTTCTGCAAGAGAGCTTTGTTGCTCAATATTTTTCTTCTCTTCTCAGGCTAAAAGAAATGCTAGCTCGCAAACACATATGTCTAATACAGCAATTATCCCTTTCTTGATAGTTCATGATCTCAGTGGGAGATTCAATCGAGAGTAAATTGGACAGCTTAAATTATTAAATTGCTGGTGATTGTTACACTGGCGTTTATTTTGCTTCTCTGCTTATAATCAGTTTATCTTTCGATTAAGCTTCCAGGAAAACTAAAAAACATGGCTTGCTGAATTGTACAAAAGGGTGTATCAAGAGGCGTATTTCCATAGGCATACAATGAATCAACACTAGACGAGTTTATTTGAGCTCAACAGCAAGTGGAACTCAAAGAATGAAAGACACCCACTGCCTGCAACAGCCAGTCTTCACTTGATATTTGGTGCTAACAATAAGAGAGGAAAATTGCTACCACCACAAAAAGCAGGAGTGTGTGCATATTGGGTGCCACAACTGAATGAGATATGTTGTGACTAAGTGGAGGAATATACTTAACAACAATTGGTATCCCCTCCTAGTTATCTCCATTGGACAGGAGTGTGATAAGACACCTTGACGAATTAGCTCTTTGGGTAAACCATCAGAGGTATGCCCTAGCAAAGGTGGGATGACTAAGATGTGAATAGTAAAGGTGAGCAGATGTCAATTGAGTATTCTGGAGTAGGCGAGAGATTTTGATAAAAAAAAAAAATGACTTGATCTTGATTTAGAGCCCCCACAAATTGAGCTCTAAATAATTTTATCTGAAAGGTCAGGGGTCTTATGACCTTCTTCATGTGCTGTGTCTCCTCAGGATGTAGGTGATGATAGCTCTCCACAATTTCCTGTTCTTTGTAGCCCTAAATAAATTATGTCTTTTTTATTATTTCTCCTAAACTCTGTACCCACCATCCATTTAGTCAATCTCAATAAGTTTTCCTCTGTCTCTCTTGCCTTTAATCTGTTCTGTGAGTCTAAGATTTTCCCAGCAGTCTAAAAATGAAGATCTTCAACCTGCTGTCCAAAAATAAGAAATCTTCCTGGGATCAAGTGTGCCATTTGGTTGGAAGGTAAAGAATTCTGGCTGTAGGCAGAAAAGTCAGTCAGTTAAAAGCCACCAGATGGTGGGTGACAAGTCACATGTGAAGTAGGGACAGGCAGTAGAGTGGTAGGAGGGAGTTGGTAGCCAAAGTGGTGTAAGAGAGATGTAGAGTCAGAGGAAGTTGGCGTTTTTGCTGGCCAAAGTGAACAACTGGTTCATTAGTCTGTTATGATAGAAGACAGAAGTATCAGCAAAGATGTCCCAAATGTCATCTGCCTAACCCTCCAGACCATGCCAGCTGAACCGTCAATAAATAACCAATATATCTGAAATAGGATTTCTGTTTTTTTTAACCTTTCGTTCTCTTGTTGAACAGACACTGGGTGTTTGACAATTTTTGTTCATACTGACAAAAAACTGGATTTACGACACAACATGGGGTGATTTTCAGTCTGTGAAACACTAAGCAAATGCCCTAGCTGTTAATTTACAACTTGTGGTGTGAGGCAAACTTTTGTTAGTGTGACGAATCTTGGTTGGCATGGACAACTGCACCAATGACCATGACACAACTGCGATTCTCATAACCTATCAGGGTCATGACATGTTCTGAAGTCACTGTGGTATTTCCTGGGTGAGATAGCCTGAGAGAACCTAACCCTCTTCAGGCTGTTTTGAATTCAGAGTTTTCCTTCTCCTGGACTAGTCACCAGCCAAGACTATAGGACCTAGTCTATCCTGCTATTTTACCCATAGCTTGGAGGTAGAAGACATGGATTCCTACCTTTCCCAAGAGTATCAGCATGTAAGTGAATGTAATGACTGGAATTCAGACTCTGCTTGTCCGTTAACCATTACCCCAACGTACTTCCTAAATACCCCGCTATAGTCCACAGGGTATTTTCTCATTGACAAACAAGTATATCAATTTGTTTGAAAGAATCAATGAATGAAAGGTAAAGTTTATTTGGTACATAAAAAAAAAAAAAAAAAAAAAATTTTGACAAAATTTACCTTATCTTTACAGGCACCAGTGGTTGCTGTAGGGGATGTGTCAGAGTCTGCAGGCTGATTGCCTACGGCTTGCAATCTTTCTTCAGAATCCCCAACTGAGCCTTCAGGACTTCCTCGCCCACCTGCATTCCGCGAACCTTTCGGTTGGTTTCGTTTACCATATAGGCTGAAAGCTGAATCAAAGACCTCCTGCAGAAATGTCAGCCTCGTTTCATCTCTACAAAAAAAAATCCAGTCAAGGAATGTAAAATGATTTTTCTTTCAACACTTCAAGAATGTTTCTGTGAACCCACTGGGGAAAATAGTGCCTGTAAAAAGTGAGAGTGTATGGACACTTGCATATTTTAATATTCAATTGTTCTTTGGCCTCACGGCGGGAATAAATAAGACCCACTCACCAAAATGAGAATTTCTTAAACTTGTATAGAAGTAATTTTAAAAAAAAATTATTTATTTTTTTTTTTGGTGAGGTGGGGTTAAATTTATAAAGTTATTGGGCTGAGCTGTTTTACAAATGGTAAGTTTGAAACTGTGATATTGATATATACAATTTTTTATTTTAAACTTTTTTTTTTGGCAGGGGAGTAATTTTTGGAAGCACTTACACAAACATTAACAGTGGAGAATAATAATAATAATAATTATTATTTATGTGTATAAAATAGGCTACAGAATACAGACAAAGTTTGAAGAATATGACAAATAGAAAACAGTTTTATTGAAACTGGATTACACGTTTCACGCTTACTAGGTTTCATCAGTTCAATAACAGAAAAAAAAAAAAGAAAGACGAGAAACGTGTGTACATTTGTGTGTATGCTTACATAATAAATCGTTAATAATAAGCTGGTGTTTCTCGGAATGAAAGAAAAGAATGAAATTGTGCAACTTTTGTAAAAAAAGCTGTTATATTTATTCTTCTGAATCTTTTCTTTACAATTTTCTTGTTCTTGTCGGAATTTATTTATATTAGGTTGCCATAGGAAATGAATAAAATGCTTCTGAAATGTTAAATAACTAATTTATTTAGTTAAAATAGGCACCATATTGATGAACAACTGTTCTCTAATGAATCAGGAATAATTTAAGATTTTTTTATATACTGAAGAGGTTACTTTGTTAAACAACCAGATCAACAACCAACCAAAAAATGCGTCATTTCATGTGTGACAACCTAATACACTCTTCCATAATTATTTATCTTAAATGAAGAATAAACAGATATACGCTTTTATTAATGTAAATTTTTATTATTTAATTAAAAATGTATATATTTTTACTCTTTAAATAAAAGAAATCCTTTTGTTAAAAAAAAAAAAAAAAAAAAAAAAAAAGTTTGTAGAACATGGTTTGTTTGTTTAGCGGCATATCAACTTTTCTTGGAGTCATTTAATGTCAAAATTTAATTTTCTTGAAAGCATTAGAAATTTCATTTACAGAAATGTATTGCTGGTAATTTTTTTTTTTCAAAAGATATATTGCTGGTACTTTACTATAAAAATGTACTTTTATAGTTTCATAGTATTTTGACCCCAGTTTGGGGGTTATTTGCCCATAGTTGGGACCCTAACAGGTGCTATTACTTTGAGTTAGGGTGGACCTGGGAACCAGAGCAAATAAAGAGGTGGTTCCACGTTCCTCAAAACCTCTGATAAGAGGCCTTTTTGCTGGATGTAGTTTGTCATACCCAGGACAGCATATGTAGAACAGATAAGTTCAATAACTTTGTAAAAAGTTAGAGATCAATTTTATTCTGTATTGATATTGTGAACAGGAAATGCCTTGTAAATTGATTAAAAAAAAAAAATCAAATATTTTTCAATTCTGACAAATGTTGCATGTTGAGGAAGTTCTAAATGAATGCTAATATACAAAAATCATTTCCCTATTTTTATGAGAGGGACCAGTCTACTTAAGTAGTTCTAGTTTTGTTAATATATCAGATGTCTAGTCAAATCATTCTCAGAATAAGTTTATATTTGGTTGTAAAAGATGATATTTACATCATTTATTTAAGTGTGGCTTATTTACTAAGTAAATATAATTTAAAGGGTAAGTAAAAGTCAAACTTTGTTAATGACATTAACTTGTGAAAGACAAATCCCATAAGAAGCACTCGTAATGCAAAGATGAGCAAGATAATTGATAAAACTTTTCATATAAGGATACATCACTGCTGGAGATTGTCGTAGAATATCAAGGTCATTTTGTATATTATACTGGCCTTCATAGTCAGCAAGGAATCTGGAGTGGAAAAGAAAGGTTAGAGGAATTTGGTGAAACAAACAAATTAGAACTTTAAAATCTAGACTTTCAAATATTAAAATAACAAATTTTGATTAATAACATTATCATAAATATTTTGTAGAAAAAAAAAATTACTTTTTAAAATGTTTTATAAAAAAACCTTTGATAAAAATTTGTCTTAATTTCAAAATAGATATTTTCTATGAATTATATATTTTAATAAAAATGTTCCTTTTGTATTCATATCATCTTATTTAGATTCCTTGAGGTTTCGCCTATGTATTTTTTGTGACAATTATTACAAGCAATAGAGTAAATTCCTCCAAATTTTAGCTTACTGTTTTGTTTAGTATTGACAGTCTTTTATTGTTTTCAATGTAGTAGCAACAAATTTTATGTTGAGTGTACATAAGTTCTTTTGAACTGTAGTTAGGATACAGTTAGTTGGTAGGACAATATATACTACAACTAAAATAATGAAAGACTTAGTCAATACTAAATTCATAATATTACTAACAGTTAAAGGATAGTGGCAATAGACCCACAATTATGTAGGGCATAACAACAAAAACCAAATTTTACAATGGTAAACGTGAAAAATGTAACTTGTAGAAAAATTATTTTAAAAAAATTTAAATAACCCCGATTTAGTACATAAGAGAAATTAGTTAATGGTCACATGTAGGCATAAAAACAAATACCGATTCATTTCAACTGAAGACTTCCTTTCTTAATTCATTTTGTTACATTACCTTTAGTTGAATATATGGTTTTTTTGTAGGATTGTATAATCACTAGTTCAAATCAGTTTATATTGTATGCATGTATGTCTGTATTTTTTTTTTTGTAATACCTTTTCATATCTAATATTTATATTAAACACATAGGTGATAAGTTTTGTGTTGTATCTACAATATATATTCTTTGGATTGATGGAAGAGCGTGTGTGTGTGTATATATATATATATATATATATATATATATGTGCAGCATATCTTCATAATTTAGACGTATTATGTCTATTCTTATTTTAATCCTCTAATATTCATGGATCTTTTTTTAATGTTGTAATTAAACTGATTAAGGAAGATGCCATAGCTGTACTTTTATTTTTCCCCAAGTACTTTCATTTGCATCCAAAATCATCTTCAGGGGTGAATTGCTAAGACAAAGAATTAATGCAATTAACAGTAATGAATTTTTGAGTATATGCATGAATACACTTTGCTAATTCCAAAAATTTACCACTATGTAAGGGAGGTAACTTAATTTATATTGTAAAAATCTTTTGTGTATATATGTATTTTTTTTCATGTGAATATTGTGTCAAAAATGATCTAGTATTTTTTGTAAATGTGGTTTTATATATATATATATATATATATATATATATATATATGCCCTGATATTTGTGAGTAACTTTGTATGTTTTTTTCAATAATTACTTAGACATTCATATTTTTATCTAACTTATAATTCTACCTTTGTAACTTGAATTATACAAGTTGTGTGGATGTGTTTTACACTTTTTTCTATAATTATTTTAAATACAATTTTTTTCACATTCCCTGTAAATAATAAATACTGCTCTACTATTATGACAATCCTATATATCTCAAAATTTAAATTATGTAACAGTCAGTTTTACTTCAGCATCTGAAGATAGCCTTGTGCATGAAAATCATTCTACCGGTAAGGAAAAAAAAGGAAAAAAAAAGTGTGTATATATATATATATATATATATATATACACTGAAAATATTAGTGGTATATAAATATATATATAAATAAATTCCCAAGAGGATAGAATCCAGGTAGAACTCAATGTCCAGGACAGAGTAAGAATATAATATAAAAGGCTCAAACACTAATCATGATCTAATTCATCATGATTATGATTCCAATGTAATAAATTATAACCATGAAATATTAGTATTTGAGCCTTATATATATATATATATATATATATATATAAACTGGAGGAATTATGTCCAAAGCTGCATTTTAAGAAGAGCCTCATTTTAGAAATTGAAGCCACTTATGAGCAGAAGACACACATAGTAAACTGAGTTACATTTTAAGTAGCCAGAAATCACTTGTCTCTGAGTGTAACTGGAGAACAAGCATTAGGTTATTAAGATACAGATGGCCAATATAATAAATCCTACTATGTGGTTACGTAATTCATCTAGAACATATTAATACAGAGTGAAATTGGCAAAATGAAAAAGCATTGATAAAGATTTGTTTTACATATTACCTTCTCTCAGACATGATAGCTGTGACAGTTTGTAAGTAGTCTTCTACATAATCCCCAACTTGAGCCACACTGGCATCATCATTTAAACTGGAAAGAAGAAATTTAAGAGGAGCTTAAAAATAAGAAACAACAAACTATTAAAAAGGCAGGCTTTAAGCATTTTGGGTAAACAATAAAATTAATTCAGAAAAACATACCTAGAGATAAACATTTTAACAGCAAACTTGCAAATATGATTTTTATATATATATATATATATATATATATATATATCTGTGTGTGTGTGTGTGTGTGTGTGTGTGTACCTATACCAAAAAATATAAAACAAATAAGAATGTTAATAAAACCAACTACTCCACAAAATGTATATCTAAAAAAAGAATACATCAATGAAACCAGTCTCTCGAAATCCTCTTTACAAAAATATGTCAATGAAATTGAATCTCCATCACACTGATTTCTTATAAACAATACATATTCTGTTCATATGATTCTATTTTAAAAATCTTGTTGGCATAAATAGCCCATTGAGGTGGATATGACATAAAATGAAATAAATCCAAAACTTAAATATATGGTATGGATGTTCGGTGATGTAATGAATAGTTTTGCTCAAGACACACCACTGCTGCAGTAAATGTGGCAACCCTATGACTAATGGGTTAATGGATTGTCATATATAGGGTTTATTTGGACAGCAGTTTCTCATTTAGACATGTTTGGTTAAAGACCAACTAAAATTTGTTTTCCCAGGTGTTCTTGTACATTTCCTTCCATATTTTGAACTATTTTCCTGGTTTCCAGTACATATTTAAATATAAACTGCACAATGTCAGTTTCATCATTTTCAAATATTGCATCTTCATGTGGCAGATTTTATTTATTAGGTCATCTTTATTTTAATGAAGTGTATTCAATATGTCTTTTATGGTTAATGCTTCTGGTATTTGTACTTATGTTTTATAGTTTTTTTTTTTTTTTACAGTTTACAACACCTTTGTGTTATTGATAAAAATTTTTTTGAATTTATGTTTTATTGGTTTGTTTACATGCACGTGTGTTGCACGTGCATTAAGAATTCATGTAAACAAGTTCTATTAAATTCAACTGACGAAGTCAGACTGTTTACATTTTTTTTTTATTGCATTTTTAATCAATTTTGGAATAAGTTGTTACACATCCAGACCAAAATTGTCGATAAACAGGCCAAAGTTAATGCTCATGTTGCTTATCTTTTAGCATATTTAACTAGTTGTAGGCTTGCTGTATTTAATGCAACTTTGAACTCCAGAACTCAAAAAAAAAAAAAAAAAAAAAAAATATAAAAAAAACTTACAGCAACTGAAATGGTCAAAAATACTTATACAAAAACTTCAAACACTTTAGCCACAAACTCTTAGGTGCCTTAGTGGAGGGAGATGTGTCACAAATATTCTCCATATGCAATAAATAGAAGGGGGTTTTAATAATGGGGGTGATCAAAAATCATAAAAAAGTGCAAAATTATTAAAAATAAATAAACTGGGTGATCTTGATAAGTTTTGGGTGTGAGAAAAAAAAATCCAGTCCTTTTATTAGGCACCTGAGAGCAAATAATTTTTTTTTTTTTACGAGTTCATGGAATGGGGTCATGATTGAATACCTTTCCAAGATTGGTTGGATACAGCAATGGTTTAATACTTCATGGAATACCCTGAGTAAAAGTTTCTTTGCTAATGACAATCGGTTCTTTAGCTGGGACTTGGCACTGGAATAAAGGAAAGAAAAGAAAAATGATTAAAAGACAGCAATTTACATTCCTATTATCTTTTGCTCAAACCAAACACTGTAAATATACTGTCATCAAATTCCTGGACCCTGCCACACTGTACTGTGAATTGTACTGCTTGAAAGTAAATCTGTACACAGCCCAATGCTCAAGGGCATTCAGTATCAGTATTCTTCGATGCACTTCTAATTGGGTTCAGTTCTTATGCAAGGTTTCATAACATTGTGTTGAAACAGCTCTGCAATCTTCATGATGGCTGACAAATTTGAGCAACATCATCAGTTTCATGACCGGGTGTAGTCGTACCAGCTCCCTCCACATATCTGCATATTATACACCAGTAGCTTCGAAGTTTCAAGTATTAGTGCGATACTATGGACAACCACATAGAAAGGGAAGAGACATTTTTTATCTCAATCTCAAGTGTTTCTGTTTGATAGACCAGCGGTTGGTTCCTTTTGAAGTTCAGCCTTCTAAGTGGCATCCACTGTAACCGAAGGAGAACAGGAAGTAAAGGGGATTTTTAAAGATTAAGTGGCAACAAAACCGGAAATAGGGTATATCCGAGTGTTGGTCCATATTAACAGTCATGCTTGGGATCAGAAAGAGTTCCGGCCCACCCTTGGTGTGAGATGGGTGTATCTTTCACACAGCTCCAAAGCCGCCAATTCATATTGCCAGCTACAACGTTGGGATGAGTAGATGAGTTGGTATGTGGAAGAGCTGACGTATCAGAAGTTCTCCCAAGTATCATCTACCTAGCCACCCAGATGAGCAGTCAAAGCCCTGAATAAAACACATACAGGGCTTGCATTCTTATTTCTCAATGTGGTGTTTCTCTTACATTGTGTCTTACCTTGTGAGCATGCAGCACACCCTTCCCCAACTTGAGAATCAGAATGCAACGTGGGAGTAATCATTGGGTGGGTGAGGGTCGCTTCGCATGTTTACATTAAACTAGAACCTAAAAACATATTTGACACAATTATCCTTAAACACACCAGAATGAAAAATATAGGATTATAAGTGGTTAAATTATAATAAAAAAAAATATTAAAATATATAAAAATGCATCTGTCTATAATTCTGAGATGAGGTATTGTAATTATTTACACTATTTACATTGTCTGGACTGTTATCCTCATCTTTATTATCATATTCATGTTTCAATCATTGTACGCTCTGACAGGTGATTGGAATTCTGAACCCTTTATTTCATCCAATAGAGTAGATTGTCCTAGTTCCACATGCCATGCCTTAGTTTCAATTATTTAATATTTTCTGTTTATACATTATTTAACATATCTATTAAATAGTGTATAAGCAAATGGATTAAATGAAATGGATTAAGTTTGACAATTATCTAATATATTTTCTATGTTATTTAATAGATATCTATTAAATAACATATAAAGAGAAAATATATTAAATAATTGTTGGACTCAATCCATTTCATAATATGTTGTCAATGTTTACGTTAAGGTACATTTCATGAGCAGATATGATTGTTCGGAAAAGATTGTTGAAGATTTGTTGTTTATAAACAGTAATTTGAACTTTGCTAACCAGACACTTTCTCTGTAGCTGAGTGGTATAGCATGTTAAATCAATTGACGGTTCCGTATAGGACACAGGTTTGATTCCTGTCAGAGAATGCATATTTTCTATGAAATTTTCTCAAATATTCAGGCTGGTAAATGTAAATAATACTGTTTATTTAAAAAACGAAATATTTACTTAAATAAATTGTATCTATTAAATAACGTATAAACAGAAAATATATTATATATATAAAATGTAGGTAAACTCCACTAATTTGCTGAACTCCCCCTCCCCCCACAAAAAAACAGCATAGCATAATGAAAAAAAAAAAAAAAGGCCCCAAACTTAAAAAAAAATAATAATAAAAAAAAAAAAAAAAAAAAAAAAAAAAAATTTTATCATAAAAATGTTATTAAGAGGAAAGACCAAAATATTTTTTTAATATTTTATCAAATTTTTGAATCCTTTCTAGTACATTGAAAATTTTAGTTAAAAATCTATTTTTGCATTTAGTGGTTGACGTAATATTTACAATTAGTTTTTTAGCACCTTTTTTCCTGTGAAAAATACAATGATTTGGAAATTCTTGCAAAAATCAAATAATTGTCAGATTTTAATGAAACTTTCAGGACTTATTTACAAATGAATTAAATTATTTTTGAATGTTTTTAAAGAAAATCTTGCTAAAAGTTTTTTTGTTTTCTTCTACACATGTTACACTCCACTTAATGAAATCTTGTAAATTTTAATTGCAAAATTTGTCTTATTAGTTAAAAGCAGGATTCCTTGGAGAATGTAAATCAATTTTTCAAACTGCTACTCATTTCCAGAAAATCTGCTCAGGATCATAAAATAAAAAAAAATGAAATAAAACTGACATTATTTAATTAGAAAACCTTTTAATTGCTTTTATAAATAAAATTTATTAAGGAAACTATTGTCTTAAGAAAATTTTTTCTTTTCGATGAATAAATTGCTTTTTTTTTTTTTTAAATTTTTAAAATCTTAAAATTCTACATTACTTTAATTGCTTTAGTTGATATTGTTATTAAATGAAAACTATATGTACAAATCAAAAATTGAAAAGCTTAACACAAATCATTACATAACAAGATTTTTAAAATAATTAAAATTTTTTTTTATGTATAAAAAATATTATCAGAAAATAATAGCAATGACTACAGTAAATTTAAATCAACATTTTGAAAATTAGATTACGGAGAATATTTTCCAACATTTTTAAGATTACTGAGTACATAAAAATTATATAAAAAGGTGCTCACATCATTTTCCTAAATTATGTTTTATAAATAAAGTTTCCATAGAACAACAATTTGTCATCACCTCGTCAATCATGTAAAACATGGTGGCTGTTAAAAACACAACTACTGTTTGTTTTAAAAATACATTTCTGTGTAATTTTATACTTAAAGTAAATAATATTTGTTTCAAAAAAGATTAATTATACTTTAAATCAGCTAATATTCTTCAAGTAATGTTTCAGAATGTCTTGCCTACTTAGACATTCAGCAGACAGGTTCCAGACTAAAATAATTCTTATTTGCTTCTGGAAATTGACATTTTTTTCAAATTATTTTTTTAAATTATTAATTACAGAAGTAAATAAATTAACACTCTTCTAATTTTGCCTAATTGCTGGCTAATATAATTATAGGTAACTCTTTGCAAAGAAATTTCATTTGATATTGATAAATTTACCTGGGAACTTCAAATTCTTTGGTCTTTAAGGCAGCAGTCAAGGCGGGCAGAATCAATTCATAAAAAGAAGCTAACCTTTAAAGAGAGAAAAAAAAAAAAAAATTACAGTTAACCATTTTCCAAAAGCTCCCAAAAAAATTAATTTTAAAATCTCACAACTACAGAGATACAAACAAACTGAATCAACATTTCCAGTAATATAATGAGCAAATTGCCACCCACACCAAATTTATATATATATATATATATATATATATATATACACACACACAAAAGTTTTGGACCACCTTCTGAATTTTGAAGAATTGCATAAAAATTGGAGGTTGTGTGCCTTTTTGGAAACTAATTGAATAGATCAGAGAGACTTTCTCTTCCTGTAGGTTTTTATCACATATTCAATAATAGAAACAATGAAATTATTCCATTAATGCATAAAGTTTCCTTAAAATTTTAGAGTTTTTTTAGTCTAATCTATTTAGCAGGCTGATGGTAATCTTAGGGTGGTACATTTTAAATTTAAAATAACTGAATGCCATTCACTAACTGGTTAAATAGTTTCAGCATCTTATTTTAGTAAGATTTAATGTAGATACAGCCAAAAATTTTTTTAAAAAAAAAAACATACCCTGATCAAAAAAAGACCCAAAACTTAATAAAAACTAAATGTTACTGTTAAAATGTTTATATTATTATTACTATTATTATTTTTACGAGTAAAGACCAAAGTATTTTTGATTATTTCATTAAATTTTTTAATCCTTTTTAGCACGTTCAAAATTTGGGCTAAAAATTGTTTTCTTTTTTTTTTTTGCATCAGCGGGTGAGCCAAAAATTAGTATAGGGATTTTTAGCATCTTTTTTGGTAAGTATTAATGAAATTTTCAGGACTTATTCTCCAAATGAATGAAATTATTTTTGAATTTATTTTATTTTTTTTTTTTTTTTTTTACACATCTGTTACTCCCACTTACATAATTTTATGAAATTTTGAGAAATTAAAATTTCAGCCTCTTCATATTTATATTAGTTAAAATCTGGACTCCCTGGAGAATTTAAATCATGAATTTGTTTTTGTCAAACAGAAACACCATTTACCAAAAATTTGCTCTGAATCATAAAATAAAAAATGCAATAAAAATGTGACATTTATTTAGAAAAGCTTTTGTTTTTAAAAATAAGATGTATTAAGGACACTATTGTCATAAAAAAAAAAAAACAGCAGCTTTTGGTGAATAATGTATTTTTACAAGAATTGTTTTAATTTCGTAAAAATTTTAATTAGAAAAAAATTATTGTTTTAAATCTTAAAATTCTGTATCAATTTCAGCTTTTTAGATATTATTAAATGAAAACTATATTTACTAATCATAAATGGAAAAGCTTAATCATCAAACATCAATATTTTTAAAAGAATTTTGAATTTTATTTGTATTTGTATAAATGTGCAGATTTTTGTAAGTAATACATGACATTGTCAGAAAATAATAGTGGTAACTATAGTAAATATAAAGTTGACATTTTTAAAATTTAATAAAACATTAGATTACGGAGAATATTTTACTAAATTTTTAAGATTACTGAGTACTTAAAAATTATATAAAAAAGCCATTCACATGAGTTTTATCAGTTATATTTTACAGATAAAGTCTCCATAGAAGATATCCACTCAATTTAAATTATTTTTTGAAATACAGCAATTGCTTATTGGAAATACTAAATTTAATCTATTAATTTGAAATTAAAACTAAAATAAGTTTCAAGAAAGATTTTTCATTTTTAGAAATTAATTTTAAACCTTAGATAACACATTTTTTTGGGGTGGTCCCTAATTTAACTAAACCAAAGAAGGTATGAAACTTACAAATTATTAAATCAATAGAGCAACCCCAAATATTTGGCTTATAGCGTATTGATGCAATCAACACAGGCATTAGCCAAGGTTCACTTCTTGAACCAAACCTCGTTTTATTTTACATAAATGATCTGCCTAAGAGTATACTCTAACTATTTGTGAATATCTATGCTGATGATATAATGGTATATGGTTGCATCTCCAAAACATTTGATGACCAGAGATTGGCAGCAGCTGATCTCTCCTCTGACCCAGCTCAGTCAGCTCAGTGGAAGGGGGACTGGCTGTTCACAGTCAATGCCTTGAAAGCCAAACGTTACATTCCATCATCATTGATCAGACCCTGAACTATCACCAATCAAAAATAGAAGGAAGGCCCTGTGCCTTGAGAACATATTGAGCCTTAAACTCAACCTAGATCACAAGTCGAGCTTGTACATACAATACACTGTTAAAGATGCTGGTAAATTGGTCGGCTCCCTGTACCAGTCCAGTGACTCCTTGTGCTTTACACTATCTTTACAAGAGCCAGATCAGGCTGAAAATAGAGTACTGTTGGCGTATACGGGCAGGAGTAGCTCTGTCTTCATTATTCTAGTTTTGATAGAGTCCAACAGTGTCCTTGTGGGTGACAAATTTTTCACCCTGCAACCCCTTTCTCACAGACGAGACATTACAAGCCTCTCACTGCTCTATTGCTATTTCCATGGAAACTATTCAGACAAAGTACATTCCTTAATCCCACCTGTTCTAACTTGCATGGCTAAGACCCGCCATACTATGAACATTGTAGTGAACCACACACATTCTCTTCAGATTCTATTTGTGAGACATAAGTTCCACTCAAGCAGCTTCTTCCTGCGGACCAACTCCCAAAAGGGTGTTTTTTCGATCACTACAATCTTAACTTGTACAAGTCTAGGATTAACCATTACCTTCTCCACATATTGACCTAAACTGTGCCTCTTAGTCTGTAACCCTCTACCTTCAGTGGCTCCAGGGCCTTGTACAGAGTGAAGATCACTGTTTATATATATATATATATATGTCAGCTGTCAATATACTTCATAACACCCTTGAACACTTAGCCTTGGAGTGGGTAGAATAGAGATCAATGTGTTTTAGTGGACTCAGCAGTTTTCAATCTGCTAGCCTGAATCATCTTCAAGAAGCGAGAGCAAGATCTAAAAGTCAGCCAATCTAACAGTGATCTCATCCCACAATCCTCACTCTTGCTTCATATGCGGCCTCCTTTGTAAATCACTAGCAGGTCTTAAGTGCCACTTAAGATTATTGCACAAAATTTCATAACTGAATCAATTGGTTAAGTTATCAGATCCTCATGTGTTGAAATCGACGGGAGAGATTCCATTTTATATATATATATATATATATATATATATATATATATATATATATATATATATGTGTATGCATAAAAGTAGTTACAGTGAGTAACTAGATTTGCATAATATTTACAAGAATTACAGTAGAAGATCAGCACTTAAAATATTGCATAAGAATGAGGCTCAAACACCTTTGTCACTCATGGTCAATATACAATTCCCAAAGTCTAGATCTGCTTTATCATGCCTAATAAAACAGTATAATTCGTGACTGAAGGCTTAGTTTAACAGAACAGAGCAGAAGACATCTAAATACAGACAAACTTTTCATCAACAGACTAATAGGGATGGGAGGTGATCCTGTTAAAGCCGATTGTTTATAGATGAGAAGGGATTATTTTTGAGTTATAAAACCACTATACTAACTACCAGTAGTTATGATCATAATGTAAATACTGTAAACATGTATATATGGCATAAATAAATATATACTTAATATAGATATATTAATCAAAATAATAGATTTCTCACAGTTATTTTCTCATGCACACACTAATGTATCATACTTTCTGTCTTTGTTTACAATTCAAAGGCCTGCCACAAGTGCCAAGTGGTCACTTTCAGAACTAATACAACTCGTTCTGTTAAATCCACAAATTTTGAAATGCATCACTGATGATTTGGAAGTTTTTTTTCCTGCAGATATATATTTTTTTTTTTATTTTGCCTGACAGATTTTGTTTGTTGCATCCAAAGTCCATTGACAGGGTGGTCTGTAGATGAGAGGTATGTCTGTATTTATTACTTAAGAAATTTTGGGGAAAAAAAAAGAAAAAAAAAAAAAAAAAAAGAAGCCAAATTACAGTTAAAGTTTGTTGCGAAGAATCTTTTCAATGTTTGTAAGAAAATATTCTGCAACCATTTAATTCAGTAAGATGAAAGCTGATAGAGTAATGGATAACGGGTTGGATTGAGGAATTGGAGTGCCTAGTTTGAATTCCATTACAGTCATATCCATTACATTCACTTACGTGCTAATACCCATGGGAAAAGTATGAATCCTCTTCTTCTCCCCCCCAGCTATGGGTAAATAGTAGGACAGACTGGGTTCTATAGCCTTGGATGGCAATTGGCCTACTGCAGAAAGAAATGGCAAACTACAGTGGGGAAAAAAATCTGCCTCGTCAGTCATGTATCGAAAGATACATGATCGCCTAAGTGTGTATCACGCATGACATATAACTGACTGAAAGAAAAAAAAAAAAAAAAAAAAAAAAAAAAGGCAAATAATTTCCTCTTTTATGTCAAAAGCTGATAATACCTTTAAAAACCAGGTGACTTACCTGTGGCACAAGTCAGCTTCATGAAAAAACACACATGACGGTGGGTACATCTCCAGGAAAGAAAATAATGTGCAGCTGATGTCGACAAGGTAGAAGATGATATCCTGAAAGTCCGACACTGACATCTTATTGATTGCCTCTGACCGCTGGTCATCTAACTTGGTAGGGGCCTGGTTGCAAGTGTCGTCCAGTCCACATTTTGTCAGCAATCTGTCGAGTACCTGGAAGAGGACAAGTTAAAGAGAATAAACACAAAGACTGAACACTCATCCAAAGATGACCACTGGTTCTGAAAATGGCTTCCAACATGGGTTCCAGTTTTAATTCTTGAGTAGTGTAATGTGGCATAATGGTTACCAGCACTAGAAAATGGAAGTAAAGCCACTAAGACACAAGAGGCTACTGAGTGTAAAAGAATAGCTGAGACCCTAACAGGTGCTCCATCCTGGGTCAGGGTGCACCTGGGAACGACAGCAATTAAGTGGTGGTTCCACGCTCCTCAAAACCTCCTGATTAAAGGCCTTGCTGCCGGATGTAGCCCATCATCATACCCAGGACAGTTATTCTTTAGTGACTACTACTTTGGTAGGTATTCATGTGCAAGCAAGTGCAGGACCCCCAACAAGGATCAAACTCAATACACTGGCATAATGGGTTGTAAGCTTAGCTTGTTAACATAGCATTAGTATTGTGGAACATTGTTGAGTTTTCAAACACCCCAATTAAAATATTATAAATATATCATTTAGTCCTTAAATTTCTTGATATATATATATATATATATATATATATATATATATATATATATATATATATCATCATGTTTTTTTTTCATTGCTTTTTTTATATGATAAAGAAAAGAAAGAAAAAATGAAATAAAAGCTCAATATAAACAATATGAGTTTTTAAGTTTCAAAAGTTCAAAACAGTTTCATTTTATTTTCAGTAAGCAAATAAAACTGCTTGTAATTCAAACAAACTCTTTGTAATGATCCGACAAAGTAAATCAGAAGGCTACTTCATGAATTATGAAAATTTAACTTGCCAAGAAAAAACATTTCATAGGAGTGTTCAAGCACTCTATGGTACGAATGAAAGGTTAGCCATTGTTTAAAAAAAAAAAAAGGTGCTCTAGCATTTTCATATACAGTCCAATCATGACTCCAACTTGGCAGAATGACCCCTGAACTTCAGTAACAATAATGTTGGTCTATATTTTCTCCAAATCATATTAATTTGTGGGGGGAAGACTTAGGAAAGTAAAAGGTTTGCTAATATAATTTTGTCTATATTTCTGAGATGAGGTATTATGTACATCCTCAAGGACACATGGCACAGTGGATAAAGGTGTTGCTTAGATCCAGTGACAGAACCCAAAGAGTGTGAGTTCAATACCTGGTTAAGGCAGCGGAGAACTTTCAGAGGGAAAATTAACAGGGGATAACTGACATCCATTAAACATGGCACGTGGAACTAGAACAGTCTACCCCAGTGAGCGAAATAAAGGGTTCAGTTCGACATTCTAACCACCTGAAGAAGGTTGGAGCGTACAATGGCCAAAACGTTGTGATAAATATGGCAACAAAGATGAGGACAATAGTCCGAATAATGTAAATAATGAATATAATTTTGGTTAAAAATAAATAAGAGAATTTACCTCAAGGACAGTTGGAATGACTTCTCGCAAGTCATTTTCATATTTAGGTTGTTCTCGGAAGATATTTGTGATCATCTTGGATAGAAGTTGTCCATTGCCCTGACCGTACAAAGCACACAGGTCCATTATCTTGGGAATGTCAAAGATAAAATTCTCATAGAGAATTTCACCAAACACAGAAGGTGTAATGAAGTCTTCCTAATAAAAAAAGAAAGGAAAAAAAAATTAGAGCAAAGTAATTTTTTAAAATGTTCATACATTCATTTGCTTCTTTTAGCACTTTTATATGGTGTAATGGTTGACAAGCTTGTCTCACTAGATTAATTACAGTTGAGTAGTGAGTGTGATCCTCACTGGGTGTTCCATATTTTTGGCCTTGTACCACATTGAAGCTATGCTTAGTAAATCACTATATCCTTATATTTCTTTTTTGGGATATATCTTCCTAATGCTACATAAGAAAAAAAAAAAAAAAAAGATAAGACTGTTGCCACAAATTGAATATGAGAAAAAAAATATTCAAAAGGGGCACCAAGATGCATGTTGGTTTCATTGTCTTGAAACTCACATACTCACTCCGACCTGCTATTAAAGACAACAGGCCCTCACCTCAAACACAACATCATACTACTTTTTTTAGGTTTTTATTTTTACAGTTTGTGTAACAAGTCCCCCGCTCCCAATAAATATAGTGCCAAGAAAGATTTTGAAATGAAACTCAAGGATGCATTTAGCTTCAATCTTCTGCAAATCTATCAAGTTCTCGTAACTCAGTCAGTTAGGAGAAGCTGGTGTGTTTAAACGTGCTTCCAAAGGCAAAAGGGATTCAAGTTCAAGCCTTACTGAGAGCTTACTGTATATACTCGCGTATCACGTGACTTTTGAAGACTTAATTGTGAAGCTAATTTTAAGGGGGTAGTATCATACAGGAGGTATAAAATTAGCATGCGTAGAGCTGGCCCTGACCAAACTATATATCCATTTATTTTAGTCAAATTAGATTCCAAATTAGGTCTTCAAAAGTTGCAATGAAACGTGAGTATATACAGTATCTTTTAATTCCAATCAAGAATGGTCAACATCGACTCTGATAATTTCTGGTATAGGTAGTTATCATTATTTACATTCGGAATATTGTCCTCATCTGTCGTTATCACATGGGGCAATATTCCAATGGATTAAAGCATCGGTTTGTGAATTTGGTGATATAGTAATGCTGAGTTCAATCCCAGTATGTACTTGGACTCCATGGAAACAGTCAAGCAGTAACTGATCAGTACTAAAAATAAGAACTTGATGACAACCCAGTGCAATGAGAACAGTCTACTCCTGTAGATTAAATAAAGGGTTCAGTTCAGAATTCCCTGTAGGTTACCCAGATCAATATACTTCTGAGGAAGACCGGTGAAATGTTGTCATAAAAACAACAAAGATAAGGACAATAATTCAATTATAAATGGAGTAAATAATCTACCTTGATGTTCTCTTTCAACTTTAAAATGTTTCTCCATTAAAGTTTTAATTTGTTCAGCCGATACCTCTTCTTTCTTTGGTCGTCCACCCTTCAGCTGATACCTTTTCCCTCAATTATGTTTGAAACATTCTTAATAATGAGATGTTGAGAGAAGTTGGCGAGTGGCTATGATCTATGGTGGACCATGTGTTCCACAATTTACTGTTTCTTTGCTTGGCAGTGAACCTGTTTTGACATTAAACCAACATTACAATTTCCCTGACATTAAAACCAAAATTCCTGATTTCCAAGTTGGCTGTGAACCCTGCACAAGAGTTACATTCGAAAGGGTTAAAGCGTTTATTGCTATGTTCAAAGAGATGGGCCAACTACTGTATATATTCAAGTATAGTGCAAATTTTTATGATCAAAAATTGGGGTGGGGAGTCACACTATACACTGGTAATCTTGGGACACCTCAAGGTGGTGTAATGGTTAGCAAGTCTGTCTCGCTAGAACAATTATGACTGAGTAGTGAGTCAGTCCTCACTGGGTGCCCCATATTTTCGGCCTCATCCACATCTGAGCTACGCTTGGAAAATCACTATACACTGGTAATCTTTATGAAGAGGTTAAAAATTATGCATTTCTGGTGACTGGTTGCATTTTTTCTGGAGGGGTTCAAATTCATGCATTTTCCGTGACTTTAACCTAACTGGACAGGCTACATTCTCATGATGCCTTTGGCTAACTTTAACGGTACAGATAAGCTCTTTTAGCATTATGTACTGGTAATCCTGACAAAGGTGGCTATTGGAAAGGCAATGCCTCAGCAATTAAAACACTTGCGAAACAAAGATGAATACAAAATCTGAGATAGGAAAAAAAAAAATCTATAAATTTTTCATTTATATGAGGTATTTGTTAATTTTAAGTGGCATACACAGTGGATGCAGTTTTGCTTTTCATGTAGCAACAAAAGGGAAGAAACTTAGGCTACGTAGAAGGCAGGCTCAGGATAAAACAGCCTCCATAGTCAGGCATGAATGAAAACAAAAGTATGCTAGCTAAATCTTTGCATCAGATATTTTACAATAAGTGGTTTTTCTTACTGTTTTGCGGGAACCTTGTACAAAGAAGAATGTCCAGGATGATGTCCAGTACTGGAATAGTTGACTACAGTAGGCCTACTAGACTTGCCCAGAAAGTGGGGTCACATTATCCATGAGCTATATTAAAAAATCAAGTTTTTCACAAAAAGATTTGGAGGTTGCACTATACATGAAGTCGGCTTATACAAGAGTATATACGGTAGTTTTGATGGCTATAAGTTTAAACTTACCTTTGACTCTTTGTATGTTGCCATTCTAACACACGTCATGAATACTTTTCGGTGAACCTCATTGTGAGGTTCACGGAGCTCAGAGGTCATCTGGCTGTACATAATATCATATGGCCTGAAACCGAATAAAAAACACATTTTTCATTTAATCATAAATCAGGAGGAAAATGAAGACAATTCACAAATGCAGCAATTTTAAGATGAGACATGAGCACAGACAATTGCATATTGCAATAATTGCCTGTGTTACCTGCATTGCTGTGAATGGTCCAATCTGTATATTTGCTACTATAGCCTCTCTTTCAATAAGAATTGTAGGCCTGTTGAATAGATGAGCCGCAGCGTTGTGACAAGACAGACTTTAATAATCTGAATAATTTTTGAGAACAAAAAAATAGAATTTTTAGATCTTACCTTGGAGCAGATTTTAAATACGAGTCAATCAATTGATGGAATGATTCGTCAAAGACGATCTACAATGAAAAGAGAAAATGAAGAAAATATATGTACAGAAAACAAAGTGATGAATCAGATTATTTTTTTTTAGCCTAGCAAGGTAACTTGGCAAATTACATCATGACCTAACATGCCTGACTAGTGTCTTTTTTTCTTGTTTTTAAATCTCCCTAAGCACTCCACAAATGCGGCATTGTGCCAAAATTCACTAAGTGCAATATCAATATAAAGCAAGTAAATAACACAAAGCAACAATAGAATATTTTTTAACATGGACATAACTTACTCAATTCACCAAAACTTCAATGTTCCATCCTTCACATAGTAAATTAAAGTTAGTTTACAGTGTATAGACAGAAATTTGAAAAGTGTACTGTGAATTAATGAGTGAGACCAGAGCTTTTTTTATGAATCACAAAAGGCACAATTTAGATTGCTGAAAACAAAAAATTACCATGAACAATGGTCACCATAATAGGGTTATTGGAGAAAGAAAATAAACAAGGGGAAAAATCCCCATGAGTAAACCTATATGGTCTGTCAGCTCTAATCTAATAGAGGTGTGCATGGTGGGGGTGGTTTGTTGTTCTGGGGTGAATGACCACTACTCTTGCTGTAGATGTCAAAGTAGGTGTTAGTAGAGACCTAAGAAGTAATGAAATTTGTCAGTTTCATACTACAATGCAATCTTCGTATCAAATACTGATACTCCTTTAGTGGGCTATATATATATATATATATATATATATATAAATAAAAATGACAATAGGAAAACTAGTAATTGCAGACATGTTTTGTCCAATGTGGACTTTATCAAAGCAAAATACGAAATGAATTTAATTGAACAAGGTAACTAATAAAAACAAAAACAGAATGTTCCTAGCAAAACGTCAGTATTTGTCACGTGTGGAGAATATTGTCATTATATCCGTGTTGGCATATTCAACCATTTTCTTTTGATTTCATGAATCTGTTGTGTACATTTGTTTGTGAGAGCAGTAATTTTGTTAAGAAAGGTGAAAAAACCTGGGCGTAGATTAATATTACTAGTTTTCCTATTGTCATTTTTATTCATAAATATTGTCTTCTCTACTGGTTAAATCGGAGAAATTTTCATATATATATATATATATATCTGACATGCTTTGACCTTTTGACCATGTAGGACTATCCATTCTCAAACAAAGCCAATCGTTTTTTTGAACACATGCCTTCTGATTCTCCAAAATATACATATCTACTCTGTTTCCCGGCCTGAGTAGATATGTATATTTTGAAATATGGAAGATGTTAAAAGCACTATTCAAGCTTTGTTTGATCGTGTGTGTTTAGCCTTATATTATACACTGAGTGTGTGTGTGTGTGTGTGTGTATATTTTACATATTATATATATATATATATATATATATATATATATATATATATATATATCACATTATATATTGATACATGTGTGTGTGTGATATATATATATCACACATACACACACACATAATGTTTAAGAAAATACATGTATATATTTATTACACACACACACACACACACACGATCAAACAAAGCTTGAATAGTGCTTTTGCACACATCTTCCATATTCTCAAAATATACATATCTACTCAGTTATATATATATACACACACCACAGCTGTTTGAGGTTTCCTACAGACCCACTGAACTTAAATAAAGTCAATTCAGGTTTCCTATGGTAAAAATTTTCTTTCCCAAGTGAAAATCATCACAAAAATAGCAAAAGTCATTTTGTCACAGCTTATTTTCTCTCAAAATATGGGTTTTCATACTTTTTTAGGGGTAAAATATTGAAAAATGACTGTTTTATCATCACCTAAACTAATATCAAGGAAACTTTTGATCTGAACCCCATGAAACTAGGTATTTTCTGAAAGCAAAAGATATATTCTTTCATTTAAAAAGTAAAATTAGCTGGTGTAAATGACTCAAAAAATTTTTTTCAGTGGGTAAAATGTGAAAAATAGTGAAAATTTTGCATTTTTTTCTTGTTCTAAACAAATATTTCCCCCATTAATGGGAAATTAACCATTTTTTTTTTTTTTGAAAATCAGAAAGCCTAAATCATAATCAAACTATTTCAGGCATAAAATTGAGAGTTTTCAAGGAAATCAACATTCCTAGGGGTTCAAAAAAATGCGACAAAATCCATTGTTAATTTTCAATTATGACTGCCAAGGGTTAAAAAAATTGACACCTGGCCACGGAAATCTTTAGTAAAAGGCAAGAGATTTATCTGCAATTCCTAACCACCAGAAACCAAAAGTTTTTTTTTTTTTTTTTCCTTTTCCAAAAATAGCGATAAGGGAAAATAAACCTAATTGACTTTGACGTCTAGGTCAAAGGCCAGCCAACCAGCCAGCCAGCTAGCAATAAACGGACGGCAAACCTTAGAACAAGTTGTAATAAAACCCACCACTCCCAGATAAAAGCAAAGGTGAATAAAAAAGGGTTCACAATTACTAGGGCTTCATATAAACTATGTTTGAACAATGGCTTGATAAGTTTTGTTTTGTTTTTAACACCCGTGACCGGGTGATGACAACAACACTTAGCAGACGACATTGTTTTTTTTTTTTTTTTTTTCGCCGACATATCTTTTGTATTTCCCATCGCCGTCCATTTAGCCTTTCTTTTTATTCAATGATGTTCATGCCAAATGAAAGAGAAAGGAATGAATTTTGAATGATGTTATTTTGAAGCGAAAATGAATATTTTTTCATTAAAAAAAAGGGGATTTTTCTCAGAAAATTGGGCATAATTTCTTAATGCTAACCGCTGAGTGACATTTTCCACAGCCAAATCGAAGATTAATTACCAGTGAATAATTCCATGTGCAAAAAATAGCCGTCTGGATCCTATAAGGTCGCCCTAAAAGGTCCAGAAGTTTACTAATTGATTGAAAACCTGTTGCGCATAATTGTATTTTTCACGGTCAGTTTCCATTATTTCATCTTGATATTATCATTTTCGGACCGCCAAGTCATCAAGGATTCAGGAAAACAGTTTGACATAGGTTTTCTTTAAGAACTTTACATTCTATGAGGTGTTTAAAATGTTACTGACGAATGAGATTTTTTGCCGCATATTTCGTTTACGCGCCATGTTGGATTTTCCTATATGACAAAAACAAGGGTTTTAAACAGCTGTGTTAGGAAACAGAGTAGATATGTATATTTTGAGAATCAGGAAGGCATGTGTTCAAAAGCACGATTCGGGCTTTGTTTGATCAGGAGGTCCTACATGGTCAAAAGGTCAAAGCATGTCAGATATATATATATATATATATATATATATATATAGGTTGTGTATATAAGTCACTTGCGGATTAAGTGGAGGAAGAAGAAACCAGCTATGTCCAGTTAATTTTGTCTAGGGTTAATGCTGGTGGACTTATTTATAGTCATGGTCTCTAGATTGCCTATTTCTATATCTGTTCATGCAAGTTATTTCAATTTTTTTTTTTTTCTTTTGAGCTTTTCCCCTTAGTTTAAGACAGACTTCCGTGGTTTTGCAGATATTTAAATTGATTTAATATTTTTTCAAACATTACTGTGATTTTTAAAGATTCATATCTATATTATTAACTCAAGAAAATCATCTGATAACCTTTTAAGCCTTTAGCATTCTACATATGCCCAAACCCAACCTGTAAATATTGTGTCTCTCAAAGTCTGTGGTCCTAGTTTCACTCTTTCCGTGACTTCTTGTGTTATTTGCAATGATGTTACATATTATAATAGAGTATACATGGAGTTGGTTGAACATCGAGAGCTGATATTTACAGTGTGAGTTTGAATGCTAAAGAGTTAATGTATGAAAGCCTAAGATTAAACTTTTGTTTCCTTCAATGAATAGAACAAATGCAGCAATGAGTCAAGCTGAGGTTTTGTTAAACTTAAAACAGCAGGATCTGTTGTACAACTCAATATGGAACATTTACTTTTGACTGATGGCAATCAGTAATTAGAGTCAACTTCAAATTACAAGAGCAAGAGGCTCAGACTAAGATTAACTTTTTTTAGATGAAGATGACAGGAGAAAGAAAACTTGTCTATAAACCTAACCATCCTGTGAAAAGGAAAAAAAAGGAAGTGGGCCTCACAGAAGGACATAGAAGGCAACCATTGAACTGTGTCCCTTCCCACTCACTTACACCTCAAGCTTACTTCGCTTGCTTATAGCAGTAAGTTACTGCCTAATAATAAAATCTGGTTTACTACTAGAAATTTTGTTCTTCAGTAGTGTGAAATGATCTGGCTGAAGGGTAATTCTCAAGCTGCAAGTGTTTGACTGAAAGAAACTGCATCCTGTCAGTGAACCTGGTATTTGATCTAAGCTGCAACACAACACAAAGACAGTCTTCATATTATTATATAAAAAAAAGGACAAAAAAAAAAAAACTGGAGCTGTTTTTTAGGAGCAGAAAACTAACAATAAAAATACCCTGATAATATTGGTATTTAACATACATGATCTTTTATAAGCAAACTAGCATTAGAGCCTGGCGTTGCCCGGGGATGTAACAGTAAGGGATAGATCAAGTATCGACCATCATAAAGACTGAAAATTAAAATTGACAAAGAAACAATAATGAGGTTGACGGATACGCATGTCTTAATTAGTTTTTTTTTTTTTTTAAATTTTTTTTTTACGAATTGGTCAAACCCAAACAAAAACATTGTTTTCAATTGTTAAGAGTCTATCGATTGAATAGAATTTTATTATAAACAATTGTCTTGTAAATGGAATTTTTAAAGCCTTCTGAATGTAAAAATAAAGAAAAAAAGTGTGCAAGACAATAAGAAACACTACCTGCCAAAAAAAAAGTGAAGTTTTGTTGAAATCGGTTGAAAAATGTAGGAAATTCGATCCCATATATAAACGAACACACACACAAACAACCTGGGTTTTATAATAAGTATAACTCGATATGAGTTGTCCCCCTTTCATTCACGCGACATTAATCATGTTTTCAAATTGATTTCATGCAAAAACAATTGTGTTTTTCCAATTTTTGGTGCTGTCAGAACCACCGCAAGGTAATTTTTCGTAGTCCTGTGAAGTTTTGTTGAAATCGGTTGAAAAATGTAGGAAATCCGATCCAATATATAAACGAACAGACACACACACACAACCTGGGTTTTATAATAAGTATGATAAATGCATCTTTTCTTTGTATAAGATTTGCATCTTTTTTTTAGATGAAGATGACAGGATATATTACACACATATATATTACACACATACATATATATATAGACCCATGCTGAGAGACCTGCCACTGCCTTCCATCAGCATGGCTGATGCTAACCTCCAGGAAAGTGACTTGTGCTTTCTCAAGCTCATGTTCTCAGCTGGCATGAAGTGGAAAGACTATATTAAATCCATTGCTAGGTCACTTGCTAAGAAAATCAGTTCACCGTTGTGTGAGACAATTTCTCTCTCCAGAATCTATCTTACCTATCTCTAAGTCTATCATTCATACATGCTTAGAATATTGGTGCCACATATGGTCTGGTGCCCATGCTATTTACCTTGAGCTCCTTGATAAGATCCAAAGAAGAATCAGTAATATTACTGGTCCTGATTTGGCAGCTCGGCTTCAGTCACTTTCCCACCGTTGTAAGGTTGCCTCTGTGTGTCTTTTCTATAAATACTTTCATGGTAATTGTTTGGATGAGCTCTTTGCTATGGTAGCTAGATTTTTTGGAATTTAAGCGCAGTACTAGACTGGCATCAAGATCTCATCATTTTACAGTTGAGCTGGCTAAATGCAGTTGTAATTTCTATACTAACAGTTGCTTTTCTTGCACTTCTTGTTTGTGGAACTTCCTTCTGGCTCCATGCTTTCCAGCCAACTTTAGTCAGCAAAAATTTAAATGCAATGTCATTGCTATCTACTGTCCTTCTGATTACTCTTTTCTCTTTCCACTCATTATTGTTGTTTCTGTTCCCAATTCTTTCACACCATGTAATCACTTATGTTTTAGTGGCTTTATTGCCTTGCATGGGGTGACACCAATTAAAAAAGAAAAATCTTATCAATTAGTCCTAACAATTATATTGTCAACCAACCTGACACCAGAACTTATCGTGTGGTTGGCTAAGCAGCCAATGCAGGTCTTCTTCAATGAATTTCAACCTCTCTAGCCATTCGCCCACAGCACCACGGTCCTCGGGATCAAGGGGAGGCGGCTTATAAGTAACAAACTGAACATCCTGTATCCAATGTGCATCCTGTGAAAGTAATAAAAGGACCATAATAAGTAGGGTTAATAATTAGACTGACTCAAATTATTACAATGAAACATAGGAAACCTTTGGGTACCATTTAGAAACAAAAAAAAAAGCAAAGCAAAATGTCATAAAGAATTTTACAAAAGAACTTGAAAATAATGTGAATAGGTGATGTAATGGTCAACAGCTCAGACCCCACACAAAGTTAATGTTGTCCATGATGGAGATCTGAAAGTCATAAACAACTGGGACCATGTTGTTCCATTACTTAACACTGGACCCAGAGACAATACTGCTGCCTTCATTGAGTTGCTTGAATTGGTGGTCAAGCCCTAGATAGACAAAGGGGGGGGGCGTACATGTTTCAGCCCCTACATAGATGAGTTCTTTCCAACTTTACCCATCTGACCCAGGAATGGCTGGCTGAGAACAACCTCTTTCGCAAGGATGAAACATTGCTAGTCTCTTGCTAATACTTGCTATTTTCATAGCAAATGTGCAACCAAACTGCATACCTTAGTCCCACCAGTCCAGACCTTCACAGCTAGGACCCTCCCCATGTCACCATTTTTGTTCCCCTTCTGGTGCTGGGTGAAGTGCATACTGGATTCCTTGGAAGTGCTTAAACTTCTTCAGTGATTGCTTCGATTGGGTCACAGTGATCTTCTGGGTTTTCTTAAAAATGGGACTGCCTTCTCATCACATACAACTTTTACCCGATATCTTTGTGCCTGATGTCTGATAACGGGCTTTGCTACCTTGAACTACTTGATGATTTTCATTGACTTACTGGGGTCGCAGACTTGCTGAATGGAGCCTTCCTCGTTTTCTTCAGTGCCATTAGACTCCCTGTGAAGAATTGGGACACAGCCTTACCATCTATGCTAGGTGTTGTTGCTGTGATCTTTCAGGGTGGAGATGCCAGTCCCACACCCAACCAGTTTTATATTCAGGGTTCTTCTAGATTGGTTGCCACCTCAAGGTTAGAAAGTCCAGTCTCTCCAGCTTTTTAACACATAGCTGGGGAAAGAAGAGATAGAGACATACCTTTCCCCAAGACTATTTGTGTACAAGTGAATGTAACAAACTCAGCTGTTATTTGAATTCAACATAGCAATCGACAATAACTGCAATGCCATATGCTCATCCATGCTGGATAACTTGGCTGTCCTTATAGCATTTGACAGTTTAGAATGTTTTTTTCCTCTTGGCTATGGATAACCCATCCCTATTGGAAGCCTCTTAACTACCCTTGAACATGAAGGATCTGGCCATTTTCAAGAGGCTGGTTTTGGTTTTTTTTAAAGAGCTGATGTGGTTGACCATTAATGCCATGAGTATGAGTTTCTTTTACATTGGAAGCTGCCATGTTAATGTACTTAATGCATTAAGCACATTAACATGGTAGCAATGAAAATATTAAAAATTGGCACATGCTACTGTGTAACAATAGGTTAGGTCATCTTCCTTTCATAGCTGGCCAAAGACGTCTGCAAATAACTAGCACTCTTTTTAAAAAACAAGTTCCTGGAATCTGGGTTTGTTTCTAAGTCCTAACATTTTGAAAGACTAATAGCACTAATTATAATGTTATTGTACTTATTTCTGTACTGATTTTGCTTCAAGAAAATTCTAACAAAAGAAAAAAAAAAGTATTTGTTTTTATTTTTTAATTAATTTTGAGCATTTCACCTCTGATTCTGATGATTTTGAGGGATAGTTAAATTGTTATGTTTTTTTTTTTTTTTTAACTGTAAAATATTTTTATTATTAAAGACATACTTGTATCATTTTTTTTTTTTTTTTCAAAATATATTTTGCAATGTAGTTTGAGTTTAATAAAAGTTTTGTTTTTTAGGCCAACTGTGGATAAGTGAAATTATAGTAGCCACAATCTGTTGGCACAGACTGCAGATAACTGAAGTTGTCCCAGCGGTCGGCACAGAGTGCTGATAGTGTGGTTGCATTTTTGCAATATTTTAAACTAAAAGTGATATTTGTTTTAAATTAGATTAATTAAACTTTAAATCAGCTAATTAATATTCCTCAAATAAAGTTTCAGAAAAGTATATTTTATTTTTGAAAAATTTTTTTTTATAAAAGATAATTACATTGTGCTGACAAATAGCTAAAATTAGGTACCTCCACTTTTTTTGCTAAGATTTCGATACCTAATGTTTAAAATGAATTTTTAAAGATGAAAACACATTCTTGAAGATTTCTTTTTAGCTTTAAATGAAAAATAAAGGATTAGAATATTACCAGTAGGTAAAATACTCTGGTGTATTTCAAATAAAATTATATACATTGGAATGTCAAATATTTGCTTGATTTCAAAAAAATCTGTTTACTGGCAGCCATTTCTTACATTTTAAAACTTGTTAAAATGTAAGAAATGGCTGCTAGTAAACATTTAAAAAAAAAAAAAAAAAAATTCCCAAAAATAAAATATATTTTTGTGACATGTTATTTGAGTAAAATTAGCAAGTTTAAAGTTAAATTAATCTGATTTGTAACAACTATTATTTACTTATAGCATAAAAATATATATTATACAAGCATTTCTTAATGACAGGTCCTGTTTTTCTTATGTCTTATTGATGTTATCGATCAGCTCTGAGGTATTGACAGCTAGTACGGATGACCAGAATTGACATACATTTATGAAATCTAAGTGAACGGATTTTATTTGGTTTTTAACTACCTAGAAATTTTTACAAATTAACACATTTTCAGCAATTATCTAATATTTTATTGACTTTTAGTTATGTTTAAAGATGCTTTCTGGAAAAATAAAATTTTCTTAGATTAATTTAAAAATTTAATAACCAAGATGAAATACCATGATAGAGGTAACGCAATTGTTTATGAAACGTTATGGTATTTTATTTATTATTAATTTATATTTTTAATATCTTTTAATTTTAAGTTGAGACTTAAGCATGCAATGAATAATGAATTGCAGATAAGCGAATTTCTCTGAAAATGGAGGCCAACTCTTACAACATGTTACCTTTTCATAATGCCACGTTTAGTCTACAATAGATTAAAAATGGGAATGATTATAGTAATAAAAACAATATTTTAAAAATATAATAGTAAAACAACATATATTAAGCTTTTCAATTTTGGATTCATAAATTTTGTTTCTACTTAATTACAATATCACCTAAAAGAATGAAAGCAATGCAGAATTTTAAACGATTTTTAAATTATTATAAATCATTATAATTAAAATTTTAAAATGAAAAAATTTATAAAAATTCATTATTCAGTGAAAATTTTTTTTCTCTTAAAGACAATAGTATCCTTAATATAACTTTTTATAAAAGCAATTAAAAGCTTTTCTAATTAAATAATGTCATAGTTTGATTACATATTTAGTTTACCATTTGGAGCAGATTTTCAGTACAAATAGTAAAAATTTAAAAAAGAAAAAAAAAAAAAGAAATAGAATAATTTACATTCTCCAAGGAGTCCTAACTAATAAAAAAAATTCTGGAAAGAAAATTTAATTTCATGAAATTAAGTAAATGGGGGGTAACAAATGTAAAAAGAGAAATATTTTTTACAAAGATTTTCTAAAAGAAAAAAGAAAAAAAAAAGAAAAGAAAAAAAAAGTTTATTCATTTGTGAATAAGTCCTGAAAATTTCATTAAAAACCGATGATTATTTGATTTTTGCAAGAATTTCCAAATCAATGTGTTTTTCACTGGAAAAAAAAAAAAAAAAAAAATGTAAAAATTATGTTTCATGCTGATGTAAAAAAAAAAAGATTTTTAACCAAAATTTTGAATGTGTTAGAAAGGTTTAAAAGAATTTAAGAAATAATTAAAAAATATTTTGGTCTTTCCTCTTAATAATAACACAAATATTTTGACGATAAAACTTTTTTATTATTAAGTTTGTGACTTTTTTTCATCATGCTATCTGTTTTTTTCAGCAAGCAAGTGGAGGGACCTAGAGTTGCATTTTAGGCTGTTGTACTCTCCAACCTTCTTAAGTTTGATTACGTAATATTCTTGGAATTTTGAACGGAACCCCAGTAACTCCATGCATCCTACTGGCATTATTGCCTTGCTTAGGGTGAAATGATTAAAAAATAAATAAAAATAAAAAATAAATAAAGAAGCCCCTTTATTCCATTGGAGTTTGATTTTAACTTATACCAGGGGAGATAACTTGAATTAGCTAATTAATCTTTAATTCATCCCTGTATGGAAGAAAGGATTTGGTTGAAAATTTCAAGGAAATTACTGAATCCATCAAACAAACACTGAAGGTTGAATAGTACAATGGCCGAAACGGTAACAAGCAAGACGAGGAAAACAGTTTGAATAAATCAATGTAATCGTATTGGCTATAAATTGAAGGAAAGTCATTATTGATGGAAGATAGAACAATCTTCTTTTGAATTGCCTCCTTTTTAAAACTTGTTGTTGTTGTTCTCCACATTTCTGTCGATCTATTCTACTTCCTTCTTCAAGAGTACTACTCATGAAAAGTGGCCATCACTTTTTGTGGGTGTGTGGTCGATGAAAGTGTAGTGCAAAGCACAAAATATTAACAAAAAGAAAGTAAATAGCAACTTATTTTCCAGTTTTTGTGGTGGGGGTACAAGAAAGAGAGTGAGCATCCCTAAATATCATGAAATTTGATTGTTATCTGATCAGTTATTAAAATCAAAACATTTTTTAGCAAATAAAGGTAATCTAGCAAAGAAAAAAAAGAGAAGGGAGAAAAAAAAGAAGGGAAGAGAGAGAAAAACAAAAATGTATTTCTCTTGCAAACATTACTCTAGCTAGAAGGAACCTTGCCAGTTTACTTTTATTATGTTGGCCTACAACATGAGTTCAAGTTGACTCTTCCTGCAAAAAAAAAAAAAATCACGTACAGTGTAACCCGGATATAAGAGAGTTGTCGGGACCGGAGAAAAAGTCTCTTATATCCGGGTTTGGTCTATTTTGTTTAGGTAAGTATGGGAACACTTTGGGACCAGAGAAAATCTCTCTTACATCCGGGTTACACTGTATTTTTTTCTTTCGATTTTCTTATCTATCCAAAAATCTGAATATGGAAAAATATTGAATCCTCCCCCGAAGAAAGAAAGAAGAAAAGAGAAAACAAAAATCAAATGGTTTGACTACTGAAGATTTACAGTCAGTTTAATTATGCAAAAGCAAAATTATTAAAAAGACTACAAAATGAAAAAAAACTGAGTTTTTGTTTGTATTTAATGATTTAATCTGAATTCTAGAATTCACCCATTAAAATCCATTATATCAAATTTAGTATAAGGGATATGAAAGGCTTAAAAATCGACAATTCTACGTCTGTAAAACAAAAAACACAACAGATTTCAAAAGCTATATTGATAAACCCTTGATAATCTTAAATGTTGTAGACCCCTCTTACAGGCAAGGAAATGAATTAATACCGGATTTTTACAAACCTATAATTTTTTTTTTTTATAGAACAGTATAATAATGAATTTTTATTTTCACTTTTCTGAATAATACCAGATTTTACAGTAGGTATAAAAAAATGAGTCAACCGAAATGGAAATTTTTCTCTGTTGCTTGTTTGCTGAGGACCATGAATTGGCAGTTTTAGGAGAAAAAAAGAAAAAAAAAAAAAGAAAAAAAAAAAGCTATAATTTATCAAATAGAGACCTGATAAAATGCTTTAATTTAAAAAAAAATTCTTTGATCCACTGTTTCTCAAAGAGATTAGTTTAATGTGGTTAATATTGAATCCAGGAAAGTAAATACTGTTCGGATTAATAAACCAAATAAATTTGGATAATCCATTTCTCAAGTTCAAATTTTAAGCAACCTTGACACCACCAATATAGACACCTACTTCAAAACTGACTTGAAAAAAAAAGTTAGTTGTTTTTTTTTTTTAATTCTTAAAAATACACAAATGTATTTTAGGAACAGAAAATTAACCTTCAAAATCAAGCAAGCACAAAAATTTAAATATCTCTTAAGGTGTTTTAATAGACGACAGAAATTGTGACATTCAAAATGTAAGGTAAGTTGGAATAGCGAAATATGCCTTCAAAATCTAAAAATATTAAAAAAAAAAACAGGACAATTTCGCTGGGAACAAAGTTATAGAATATCAATTCTCCTATACAGCTGTTAATGCTGGACAATTTATTCACAGATGAAGAGGAGGAAAAAGACATACGGTTCTACAGAAGGATACTGAGAATACCATGGACTGAAAATGTGAGTAACGCTGAAGTTTTAAGGAAAATAGGAAAGAAAAAAAAAAAAGAACACTTCTACTTAGAATCCGTTAGCAACGGTTGAAATTTCTGGGACACATAAGGAAAGGAGACTTGGAGAATTTAACAGTGACAGGACATATTGTCATGAGACAGGGGGAAGCAGCAAGGAACCTACCCAACAAGTTATATGTATGGATAGCAGAATATGAAATATGAGTAAAAAACAAAAAACATTAAGAGTTATGTAACATGAAATTGTAGAGAACCATGATTTCAATGAAGGGACACAATATATATTGAAGCGAATTTACAGATTCTGGGTTTTTAAACTCATTACGTAACTAACACAAATATAAAATAAAGAAAGATTATTATTCTTGCAGACTAGGTAATATGAGTTTGGTTCTTACTACGCTAGTAGCCTTGTGCCAGACTAATATTTGTAATTATGAGTGAAGGCAAAAAAAAAAAAATGATCTGAAAAATACACCGAAATTTTCGTAGGTCTTTTCTTCACCTTGACTACAATTTTGATGGGTCCTTTCTTTTTTTATTTTTTCGAAGAGGAATGAACAATAATAATATATCCGTGTGTGGGAAGTAGATGGCGTTTTAAAAATTGTTGATGGAATAATCAAGACCTGAAACAAAATGGCTAAAGAAAATTATGAAAAGTAAAAAAAAAAAATAAAAGTAACCTTTAAAAAAAAAAAAAAAAATCTTTTTTTAGGAAAAAAAACGATTTGTGGTTGTACTGAGAAAAAGTGAATATTTTTATTGTGCGTGTATCGATCCTTGTTCATTCTTGACATAGGCGATCAAGTCTCTCCACAACTTCCTTTTACTTATTTTCTGTAGCTTTGATTTGGCAAAGATAACTGAAGTGGTTTCTTGTTTTAGTTAAATTAAATAACATTTTTTTTTTTACTAAAACGTACGTACATTTGGTAATAATACCAATATTAAGATTTTTTATAATTGAAAATATTTTTTTTTTTGCTGAAAAATAAAATTATTTGGTAATTTGACAATTTAAGAAATATTTTTTTAATAACTTTCTTATTCTTGAACAACTGATAAAAGTGTTTTAAGGTTTTATTTTACTTTTAAAAATAAAAATTTTAAAAAAGCCAGATTATTCCTATTTATTTTTAAATTAAAAAAAAAAAAAAAATAATTGTTTCAAATTAGAGAAAAGGATTTTAAAACGTTTCCCCCCCACAAAAACAGTAAGCGATTTTTTTTTCTATTAAAAAAAAAAAATATAAAAAAAATCAACTTACTTTTTAACATGGAAAAAAAAAAAAAAAAAAAAAAAAATAAACAACATACAACTTAAATCTAAACTTCGATTTAAGAAAAAAAATCTCGCAGGATTAACGATCTTTCTTTCCATAATTGGTTCTGTTGAACAGCTGTTTTCTTTAAAAAGATACCACAAAAAGCGCGTGTAAAAAGTTTTTCAGTCAACGAAAAAAAGTAAATTAAATAATACTAAAGGATAAATTAAAAAAAAAAAAAATAAATAATTAAAAATGAATTAATTTTTTATTGCACAACTGTGTGCAATCACGTCCAATCAATCGTTGACTTATTTACAATAAAATCCACACACACAATTTATTTACCGTCTTTCATATTGCAAAGTCATGAGAACTTTTTACAGCATTTATATTTTTTCTTTTGAGATCAAAGAAAATAAGCTGTAGGAAAATGAAATCTGAAGATGGAAATAATTTACATCAGTAAAGAAAGAATTGCGGCATTTCAGCAGAGGTCAAGCGGTACAATTCATTTTCTCTAGAATAGATTTAAATTTTAAAAATAAGTCTTGATTTAAATTTTTTTTATTTTAAAATGGATATGCGTGTTTATTTAAAAATATTCTTTAAATGTTAAAAATAAGCTTTAATAAAAGCTGTAAAAAAAAAAAAAAATAGTTTGCAATATGAACTTGGGCAAAAAGAATTTTTAGTCTTAATTTTTTAAAATTTCGTTTTTAAAGTTTGGTGCTTACTAAGGCAGGAATTTTCTTTTTTCGTCCATTCTTTTGCTCCACTTCAACAAATCTCTCGTCGAGCGGTAGCATCTGTTTCGGAGCCATGTCATAACAGGATTAAAACTCCATTTGAATAGAACAAAAATGTAAATGTCTCGTACTTTCTTTTTTTTTTTAAATGAGAAAGAAAAAACTAATAAACATGAACATCATCCTTCTACAACCAATTTTCTACAACTGACAACAACACACATGACTTCCGGTTGAATTACGGAGCAAATAAATAAAATTAAAAAAAAACAATATAAATTCTTTTCGGGATTATTTATAGGAAATTAACTTAATAAAACAGTCAATAAACACCATTTAATATATTCTTAAATTAAAAACAATTTACCTTTCAAATTTTCTTTTTTTTTCTTCCTTAATTTGCACTTACAGTAAAACTACGGAATTATCTCCCTTTGCTTATGCCGGCAATTGTGATAGCGGAACCATGAGACTTGTCTTACTTAGATTGTCCAAAACGTAATCAACTCATTAGTTTTACCTTTCCCACCCCCATCGGCGGTAGGTTTGACACATAGTCACAGTTAACGTGGAGTTTATCATGCGGATCGAATTGTATATATATATAAAAAATGTCCAGTTCCTTTGTTGTTTCCATTTTTTTGGGACACCTTAGAAGTCACTCACGCCTTTTTAAGGTATAATGAGAGGGTGCTGCCTGGAGGAACTGAACTTAGGTTATTTTTGGAATTGTTCTGTTTCGAAACCAAAAGAAAAAAATAGTCGTGGCGGTTGCGAATCTTACCAATCAATATAGATAAAAAAAAAAAAAATGTAACTGACTAAGAGACGCGACATTGGAACTTTTCTATCTAGTCTAATTATCTTTATTTTTCAAAGGCGCAGGATTGCGCCTTTGAAAAATCAACCGTTTCTAAACACAAAAACGTCAGGTTGTGGCAACGTGGTAAACTGTTTTGTCTTGTGTAAATAAATACACTGACACTTGGTCAATCATAAAAAAGTACTTGTTGGTGTGATTCAACAAATGTTAAAAACACAATGTGTTGTAGGCAGAGACTGAAATAGAGTAGCAATTTCTAAGTTTTTGTTGTCCCATGCCCCACCACAAGAAAATTAATATCTGGATTTTTCTTAATGAGAATTATGATTCAATTTCCAGTAAGGAATGCTATTTTTTTTTAGTTTTCACTCTTGTGACTCTTGTCATCGAATTTCCAAATTTACCCCCAAATATTCAAACTGCGCCGGGACGCACATCACGTGTTTGGAATCATTTTGTTTAGAAGAGTTTTTTTTTGTCAACCAAAATTAATTTTTTTTTTTTTTTTTTTTTTTTAGTATTTCTCATGAATAATAATAATAATAAAAAAAAGTAATAGCTAAAATAAAAAATAGTTGGTAAAAATTCAGTAAAAAGTAAGCTAAGCTAAAAAAACGATTTTTTTCTGTGTAAAGTTTCATTTTTTTTCTGAGGTAGGTTGCCTTGGTCTTTTCAGAAAATTACTTTTCCTTTGGGTCTCTATATTCATTTCCAAGGAAATGAAAGTTGGTTAATAAGTGATGATGTGGTTCTAAATTGTGGATACAAGATACAAAGTACGTGTATTTTTAAAATTGACCTTGATTTTATGTCAAAAAAAAAAAAAAAAAAAAAAAAATAGCTGAGTTAAGTTTTTATGCACGGAAGAAAATAAAGTTTATTTTATCGAGTTAAAAACTTGAGTTCAAGGGTTGGAGGCTCAGAGTTTTTGCAACAGTAACACAGCGCCAATAGTTCCTAGTTACAGAAAAAATATTTCTTTCTTTAAGCCTTTTTTTTTTTTTTGCTTTTAACTTAAGTTTTAGGAACATTATGGATGGGCTAATAATGAATAAAATTCGCTTTTTTTTTTATAAGCGCAGATACAAAGGACCAGTTTAGCATGGATGTTATTGTTAAAAAAAAATAAATCGAAACTAAATAAATATCAAGGTACGAAAAAAAAAACGCATAAATTGTATTTTCCTACGAAAATACACACATTTTGTGTTAAGGAAACGAATCTTTAAGAAATAACTTCGTTGCGTGTTCTACAAAAAAAAGCAACAGAATTATGAAGTTCAAATGAATCGTGTCTGAGTTTTTCTATTCAGTTAAAAAAACAAAGAGACACTTTTTTTCTTTAAATACATAATTTGGGTCTCAAAACAGGAAAAAAATAGAACATTTTGTTTTGCAATGTGACGATGACATTCATTCGCCAATTTTTAAAGTTTAGATCAGATTACTTTTGAGTTTTGATTGAAGAAATAGGGTATATTAAATAAATGACGTGTAAAAAATCGGTGATTTTTTAATCTGGTCATGTGCGTTTAAAAAAATGAAAGAAGGTAAAATTGGAAATGTTGACCATCAATTTAAGTTTGTGAAACTGGCGGTTGTTTTGACCATAATGATTTTTTACTATCAGTCAATAATCTTAAATGCAATAAGGTATTCTGGGGAATAAAAATAAAATTAAGCAGAAAGAAAAAATAAATAGAAAGTGTAATCTTTGCGGGGGAGTCGTTAAGGACGAATGTACCGCGTTAAGTTCAAACGGTATCAAGGGCAGATAATCCGGGAAAGCAAGACATTATTTTATTTTATAACAATAAAGAGTTCTACCCTGCTAACATGGCTTCGGTTAGCAAAGTTGACTACCTCAAACGGTACATGTCGGATGGTTCTGACAAAAAGAAAAAACGAAAGAAGATAAAAAAAGGGCCCAGGTAAAGAGGTTCTTTCTATAAATTTTCTTCATGGCTGAAAAAACACGCCATTTTGTTGTTGTTATTTTTATGTAGTTCTAAGTCCGGCATGCTCAGCAAAGGTAGGCACGGTTACCCCCTCCAAGTACATTTTTGATAGATTTTTTTTCTTTCTGTACTTCATTTTATTATTATTATACCCATTCTTGATTATTTGATGCACGTGTATTCTTTATTTATTTTAAAAATAGTTAGTTTATTATTAATTGGAAGGAGACTAATGTCTTTGAGATAATTTTTTTTTTCGATTAACTAAGATACTTTATTTTCTGTCTTGTGTCAGTTCGGTGTATAAAAATGATTGCTTTCATTGTCTCAAAATCTGAGCATCAAATTTAACGAATGACTCGTAAATGAACATAGAAACTCCAATTATTTTTTTCTTTTCATCTTTTCTTTTTGCCTATTCTTATTTAAAATTCGTTTTGTCGGCACTTTTTAGCGTAATTGTTGTTTTAATGAATATTCTATTATAAATCTTGTTTTCTTTCTTTCTTTCTTTTTGAAAAGTAGTGGCCGTTGTAACCCTTTTTTTAAGCCTTAAAAAGCATTTTAGTACCGTTTTTTGGTTGTAGTAAACAATTTTTGAAAAATGTTTTCACTTTCAAGTTTAATGAATATTTTTTTTTGTCTCTGCTTGACATACTGTTATTTATATTTTGTGAATTATTTTAAGTCAGTGCAAAAATTGTTTAATTTTGGCTAAAAAAAAACAACACTTTTTTTTTATTGACCCTCCTAAGTCAGGAGTCCTAACCTAAGTAAGTAAATAAATACTGATCGAACACTAAAATTTATTTACAAAAAATCCATCATCAAGTTTAAAGAATTTTAAAATTTTCGGCGGTTATTAGTTTTTCTTTTGTTTATCTTGATTTCCCAGAGCTCGTCTTGGATTTTATCTTCTTAATGACCAAAGTTTGAGTTCCGTTAGTAAAGTTGACTTGTTTGTCTCATCAAGTGTTTGGTTAAATGTTCATTGGTTTTAATTTTGTTTTCGTGTTCCTTGGTTTTAAAAAAAATTCTTTAATTCAGCAGCAAGAAGTAATGATAAAAATAAGACTTCGTATTTCAAAGATGCATTTAATTGCATAAAAATATTAAGTAAATAAATTATCGTAAAGTGGATGCTTTGTTACGATTTTGATTTTTTTTGAATGATCAGTTTTCTTGGTTATTTTTCGCATCATGTGAATATTTCTTAAACTTTTATTGTCGTCATTTATGTATCATATTTCTAGTGAAGCTAATATTGATTTTTGTTTTTTTGTGTGTTAATATTTTTGAAGCCCCTCCCCCATCACAAAGAAAAGGACAAAAAAAAAAAAAAAAAAGAAATAAAAAAACTGTCGAATATAAAACTATTTTCTCACTGTACAACCCGGCAAAAAAATAAATCTGATTATCCTGGAAATGAATGTTTGCTCGCTTTGTAGAAGTAATAATATTTTTATCACTTGACTTGAATAACTGGAAATATAACGTCTCTTATTCTTAGTCTTACATGAAATTCATGGCATTTCGTCGCTAAATAATTTTTATTTAAAATTTAAATTATACCGCCTTAGACTTTGGTCAGAGAAAGGGGCATAATTAATTTTCTCTGGAACCTTAAAGAAAGAAAGACCATGGCCTTGCATTAACGCCTTTTTATTTAGGACACAACAGATATGCTATAATATTGAATAATTTTATAATCAAATAATCTTAATATGAAATTTTCATCTTATACTTTGTTCTTCATGGTCCATGTGGATGTGTCAGGAATTTATAAAAGTAAAACAAGGAAAAAGGTAAAGATTATTTTTGGTCATTTATGTTTCCTACAATTTTGGTTTGGACTATCATCAAATCTTGCACATTTTTTGTTCAGGTTTGCTAAGTGTATTTACTATTTAGTAAATACAAGTAGTATAGTATCCATAAAAAATAACGATATTATTTTTAAGTGTGCATCGACACTAATATCCAGGTTCAATGTGTAGTGCTTGTGTGGTTTGTGAAAAGTAGGTACCTCTATGGCCTTGTGTTGTTGTTGTTTTTTTTTCTCTTAAAAAAAATACAAGAGAACGCATTTTACGCTCTTTGAAGTTGTTATTTTTTTATTTGAAAGATAACAACTTAAAGTACCTCCACTTTTTCGCTGAAAAAAAACCCAAAAAAAACGCCATAGCGTCATGAAAAAAGCCCACCAAAGGCCAAAACAATAAAAATTATCGTCAAAATGTTTGTTATTATTAAAAGAGGAAAGACCAAAGTATTTTTTTTTTTTAATCATTTCTCACGCGTTCGGAATTTTAGTGTAATTTTTTTGGCGTCAGCGGACGACGTAATTACGCTTGATACTTTTGCGCTTTTTTTCCGGCGAAAAACATTGGTTTGGAAATTCTTGCAAAAATCAAATAATTTCAGGACTTTATTCACAAATGAATTAAATTACTTTTGAATTTTTTTTCTTTTTCTTTTTAGAAAATCTTTGAAAAAGGTAACTTTTTTTAAATAAGTTACTCTCCCATTTAACTTAATTTATTTTAAATGGAATTAAACTTTCATCTGAAAATAGTTTTTATTAGTTAAAGCAGGGCTCCTTGAAGAATACTAATTTTTTTTTCAAATTACTATTCATTTACCGAAAATCTGATCTGAATCGTAAAATAAAAATGCTCTTCAAAACTATAACATTAATTAGAAAAGCTTTTATAAATAAGATTTTTAAAGACACTTGTCCTAAGAAAAAAAAATTCGATGAATAATGAATTTTTACAAGTATTATTTTTAATTTTTTTTTTTAATTATAATAATGTATATAATAAATCTTAAAATTACTCTCATCCGGTTAGGTGATATTGTTATTTTAGTGAAGACTATATTTACTGATCAAAAATTGAAAAGCTTAATACAAATCATTTTGCACCAAGATTTTAAAAATTATTTTATTTTGTTATGCATATAAAATGTGTCCATTTTTATATTTCTAAAATTAGACTATGCCATGGAAAATATTTTCCAACATTTTTAAGATTACTGAGTACATAAAAATCATAGAAAAAAGGAGGTGGTCACTTAATGCTAAAAAGAAAGCTTCAAGTGTGCTTTTTCAATTTTAATTCATTTTAAACCTTAGGTATCGAAAATCAGTGGAGATATCTATGTAAAAATGAAGAAAAATAAATTAAATTTACATATGTAAATAAAGTTATTGATACAGTCACTCATTGACTTATAAAACCTCTATTATAGACGAAAAATGAAACAACAAATTTGAAAATTTCTTAAAAATGCAAGATTTGTTCTAAACATCTATTTCAAAACAAATTAATTTATGGATTAATTAACTGGATTCTGCAAAACTAATTCCTACTTTTTGCTTAAAGCAGTGAAAATAATGTTTGATTATGCACAGTAAGCCATGAGCTGCTTTCAAGGTCTTAGGTCACCAAGTGTAGTCTTCTACTGTCACCCCGACTCTTAAAAAGTGCTCAAAAAAATTTAAATATCAACAGTACTACAATCAAGAAATTGGTATTATTTATCTAAAAATAATTTCTTTAACATTATGTAATGAATAGTTTAAATATATAATATTTTATTCTATATGCTTTTATCAAACTTGGTAGAATTAATAATTTTATGTTTTTTATTATTTTCTTACTGTTAATTGCACCCATTGTGGTCATCTTTTTTTTTTTTTTTTTTTTTTTAACAAAAAACAGCCCTCAACTATTTCTACAAAGAATTCTAGTAAAATGAATTAGTCATTAATGCATTGTACACTGAATAAGTGCAGAAAAATCTGTTTAAATTAGATAATTCCCTGATTTTTGGTAAATTTTTTAAAATTGGGTATTGTTTTTTTTTTTTTTTTTTTTTTTGCTTTCATTTGAGGTGGGTGTAACGAAACCGTCCATTTGGCTGGTATCTACAGAAAGTGTTACATCTGCAATGTTGCCATCAACAGCCTATCTGTTCATTTTCTGCAAGAATATCGGAAAAAAGCAATGGAGAGGAATTAAGGTGTGAAGTAGAAAGAAAGTTTAGTTTTCCTCTTCGATAAAGTAGAGGAAGCTTTTATTTAATATCTCTTCATTTTGAGTATGATGCACACCTTTATATAGAAAGGTAGATAAATCTAATATTTATATTAATATATAGAGACAGAATTATATTCTAAAAATAAAAATCACTTCCAGTAATGCAAAACGTCACAAAAGGCTTTAATATTCCTAATTTTTGTTTGTAAATTATACAGCCGTTTAGTGTCCCAAAATATTTTCGCATATCAAATACTGAATTACCTTTCTTTGATTACTTCACCTATCTTCATATTGTGTGCATACATCTTGTAAAACAACTCAAAGGAAATGGGTGTCGACCTAACTTTCTTGAGTCTACTGAAGTCAACGTTTTCTTGATTCACTTTTCATGAGAAATGTCTCCTTTCTTGCTGGATGAATGTCCTTTACAGTCAATTTTCTGTGGGGAAAATGGAAAGGAACTTGTTTGTGATGTATTTTGTCCTGGGAAGGAAAGAACTTTAGACTAATAATGGTTTTATTGGTGGAATCCATCTTGAGAGAAGGCAAGGTGACAGTTTCACATTGAATCATCAAAGATACACATTCACCTTTAAATTTTGATGACTCGTATATCAAGATGTTTAACTTAGTTTAACACATTCAGCTTTTTATTGTTTTGCTTTAATTTTATTGTATCGGTAGTAGTTTTGTATGTTCCTGGCTGTAAATTTATTGGCTTTCAATTTTATATTTTTGATTACTTACTAAAAAATATGGTTGTTTCATCTTTATAACTTTATCCAGTCAGTTATGTGCCATGCGTGATACACGCTTAGGCGATCATATATCTTTCAATACATAACTGGTGAGGCAGATTTTTTCCTGCAGTAGGTTGCCATTTCTTTCTGTGGTAGACCAGTTGCCATCCAAGGCTATAGAACCCAGTGTGTCCAGCTATTTACCGATAGCTTGGGATGGGGAGAAGAAGAGGATTCATACCTTTCCAAAGGGTATTAGCATGTAAGTGAATATAATGGATTCGACTGGAATTCGAACTCAGCTCTTCAATTCCTCAATCTGAGCTGCTATCCATTACTCCACCATGGTTGCTTTTCTGATTAAAATTTATTTTGTTTTATGAGGCAAGCCTTTTCAGATTCAAAGAAAAGAAGGTGGGGGCTGGCATTTTTATTTTAGTGTTAAAAAAATCTGTGCTCGGAATATGAGGCTAGCTAAAGTCTATAAATTGTAAGTCAAGATCATCTTAAAAGTTGAATTATATTTTATTTTTATGTAAAGAAAAATCCAAATACGAAGCGAGATAAAACAATCTAAGGGGCGTAATTCAGTATCTTTTTGTAGAAATTGTTTCAAGAAACTAAACTAGAATATGCCCAATACTTACTTTTCTGCTCTGTTGTTGCTTAACTTACTTTCTGATTTGGGTTGAGAATGTCACTGAACTAGAAGGTCATTTTTTGACACCCAGACATATGAAGGGAGCTGATCAAGTGCTCACATGCACATTAACCCAATGACCGGACTTGATCAATTTCCATCTCCACTTTAGTTTTTCAGTGTGCAACACAGATGTTGAAAATTGGTGAAACTAATTTTAACCCAAAATTGTAAAATTTTACGATCTGGTATTGACACCTTTCTTTATTAGGTCTACCATTACTCCAGTAAATAATACTGCTTGTTCCTCAGTAAGTTATTTAGTATATTCATTATACTCTGTAATAGCATTACTTGTCCTTGCCTACAAATATTTGGTATAGCAGCAGTAGATCCTTAACTCTTTTGTTTACTTCTGGATATCCCCACCCCCTGCTCTTAGGGGTATAGCCATTAACTCACAGTGAAATCTTGTGGTGAATACTATCACATATTTTTATTTATTTTTTTTTTAATCATTTCACTCAGGTGATAATGCCACTAAGACACAAGGGGCTACTGAGAAGAATTTAGGGGAAGGAATCGGAAACCTAATCCTGAACTCCTATTCAAAAGATGTGGAAGGAGTGTAAATCTGGTGTATAGGTGACCCTATCTACTCCTATTATTAATAATGTTTGCACATTTGTTGGAATTGAATCTCAGTTTAACAGCCATAAAATGATATATGAAGTCGGTGTGTTCTGTTTAAAACAAGCACTACATTCTTTGTTTCCTAGAATTCCGTTGTTCCAATTTATACAAAACTAGAATATAAAACTGAAACTGTGTAATAATATATTACAAATACTTGCTCATTTCATGCCCATTACCTCAGACAAATAATGGATCAATTTATTTTTATTGTGAGCGAAGTTGGGAGAAAAACGATGTTTAACATCTGCTTCAGTGAAATAAGAAAGGAAAAGAATGGAAGATTTGCACTTTTTCTACCTATTTTAAATGACTTGTGCAAGTAACCAGGTGAAGTGTTGAAAGTTTATATTGATAGTGAAAAAAAAAAAAATGAACACCTGCGTGTACTTGGAAGTTTCTCACTGGTATAGATTGTTTGGCTACAGTCCACATGGGTTAATGTATGTTATTATTATTATTATTTTTCTTAAATTTTCTAGTGTTTTTCTTATGATTAATTGCCTTTAATGCTGATAATTTTGAAGTAACATTTGACTGGCCTTGAAATGTCACTTAAAAAAAAAGAAAAAACCAAATCCCTATGTTTGACTTAAGCAATGTTTTAGAAAACCCTCATAAATCATTTTGAAGGTGTCGTTAGCAGATTTGCTGAACTGCATGCAAAAATTTGATGCAGATATGTTGCTTGAATTTTTCATTTAATATAAAGATTGCAGAGCTGTTCCTGCATAACAATACAGAATTTCTATGTACATCCTTTAAATGAGTGCTCTGAATCACTAATTCTCGGTTTCATTGTGATGCTTGATTTCTTGTTGTCAAATAAAGATGAAAAAAAGATCATAAAGCTTTTTTTCTTTGTGAATCGAACAAAGAGGAGATGGAATGGGGCATGTAGTCTGTCTCTCACTGTTTTTGTGACTTCATGCATTATTTGTGAATGTTGATGTATATATTACAATAGACACACAAAAAAATAGTATAGCTATTTTCTTTACATTTTTACTTGTTTTGTTTGTTGCTGTGGGACACACAAATGTCTGCTTCAAATGACATGCTATTTTAACTTTTGAATATGCTTTTGTTTTGCAGTCCCCGTATCTTTGATGATGATGTTAGCATAAAGTCCTTACTGCCTGAAAACCAAGACATAAACATGGATTCTGAACTGGCTGAGAATGCCCCAACTGTAGCAGAATTTGTAGATGAACGTCCACTTGAAGTACAACAGCTTGAACACTACCAAGACAAAAGCAAATGGAAATTGCTTGCAGAAAACAAAGCTGAGGATGGGGAGATTGTATCTGATAAGTCAGATGAGGAAGAGAATGTCACAAAGAATGACTCTGAAGATGATGGGCATATCTCATCACATAGTGAAGCCTCAGATGACAATCGTAGCCACAAATCAGGTTCTGATGTCTCTCCACAGAAAACGAAAACCTCTCAGTCAGACAAATGTGCCTCACCCAAGAAAACTTCAGCTCAGAATTCTCCATCAGATATTTCAGCAGTTAAAGAGAAAGCATATGAGCAGGAGGAACAGAAACCTGATTTGGGTTCTGATGAAAGCATGGAGGAGGAGGGGAGAATCCATGATGATTCTGGATCAGAGCCATCACCTCGCAGACGTGTCCGACATAATCTTGAGTCAGACAAGTCTCCGAAGCAGAGACGGGAGTCGCATTCAGAATCAGAACCATCACACTCTCCTGGGGATCAATCTCGAAGAGTTAGGCATGATTCAGATTCTGATGGCCGATCAGAGCCCCTGAAGCATGCCCGTCAAGACTCTGATTCGGATGCTTCATCTTCTGACTCCGATCAGCCAGCACCCCGCAGAAGGCGGCGATATTCAAGCTCAAAGCCAGACAGGAGTGCCAGCCCAGCACCAGCCAAAGGATCCCCTGCAGCACGTGCAGCATCTGATTCTGATGCCTCACCTGCTCGTCGGAGAAGGCCTGCATCAGACTCTGATCATTCTCCCCGTCGGCGAAGGCACGCGTCTGACTCTGACCACTCCCCCCGTCGGCGAAGGCACACGTCTGACTCTGACCACTCCCCCCGTCGGCGAAGGCACGCGTCTGACTCTGACCACTCCTCCCGTCGGCGAAGGCCTGGCGCCTGACTCTGACCACTCCCCCCGGGCGGAGGCACGCGTCTGACTCTGACCTCCCCGTCGGCGGAGGCACGCGTCTGACTCTGACCACTCCCCCCGTCGGCGAAGGCACACATCTGACTCTGACCACTCCCCCCGTCGGCGCAGGCCCACATCTGACTCTGACCATTCCCCTCGTCGGAGAAGACACGCTTCAGATTCAGATCAATCACCTCGTCATAGAAGGCCGACATCTGATTCTGATAATTCTCCCCCACGGGCTTCTCGCCGTCACAGTTCAGACTCTGATCTGTCTCCCCAGCGACGACGAAGAAGCAAAGCTGACCACAGCCCCTTACGGCACCATAACCATTCCAGTGCCTTATCCAAAGACAGAAGGACTCCCAGAGATGATTCTGATTCCGACTTATCACCTCCTCGGCCTGGTCAGCGCAGAGATTCCTCCCCAGTGAGTCGATCTCTGCTTGATGGCAAGGGACGGCCTCAAAAAACTTTGGGTGGCACTAAAGCTGGCCTCTCTACTGCTGACGACATGAGGAGAGAAGCTCGGTACATGCGTCATAGAGAAGATAAAATGTTTCGACAGGTAAGGTTGATTGCAAGTTGCACTTGATTGTAAAAAAAACTTGGCAAATAGAGAATTAAATTGTGTTGCTTTGATGTTTGGAAACTTTTGGAGATGTTTCGGAACTTTTTTTTTTTTTTCTCTCTTCTAAGCACTAAAGTTCACTCACTTAAGCTATAGGGTTACTGAATTAGGTGTTTGGTATAGGTGTAAGTGAATGTTATGAGAATAAGGGGGATAGATAATGATTGGCCTTTGAATGGAGAGATTAAGATTGTAGTATTCAGGGAATCTCCCATGCAGTAGTCTGTTTCACAAAGTAACAGTTTTTGGTGGGGGGAGTTGAACTTCCTCCTTACAAATGGAGTATGGACAAAATGAGGATGATTTGACTCTTTAGACATAACATGGCACATGCTAGTGTTAAAGGTTCTGAACTGGTGGAACTGAAGACCATGTTGAATAAAGAATATTAAAGGGAAATTGGCCCAGTGGATAAAAGTGTTGGTTGTGTGATCCAAAAAGTGACTTTACACAAGAAGTTGTGAGTTCAATGCCTGGTCACAGCAGCAGGAACAAAAACCTGGAGAGTCGAGTTACCTAGTGGAATTAACTGAAATTGAGATATCCAGTTCAAAATTCCTACTAATATCACCTGAAGAAGGCCGGAGAGTAAAATGGACAGAATGTTGTGAATATGACAATAAAGATGAGGGCAACAGTCTGAACAATGTAGATAGATATATTTTCTTTATAAATATGCTTAGCATAGAAAAGTTTGTTTGCCATTTTCCTTCAGGGTGTGGCTAATCATGCAACTTCCTGTCCTTCATAGGTCCTAGTAAGGTTTGGCCTTTTGTGATCTCTCTTAATCCCTGTTTTACTAATCATTTACACAAGCTTGTTAGATAGGTTATTCACTTCTTTCCGCTGTCACTCTTGCTTTCAATATTTTATGTGAGTGTCAAATTCTCCAAGCCCTCTTTCTTCATTATGTATGTGTTGTAGAGTAGTTTTCACTGTGGCGGCTTGTATTTCAATAAGTTGTCCTAAATTAGGTTCGACGTACAAAACGTTAGGAACTTGAAATAAGAGTTAATGATGAAGCAATCTAGTTGTGATGGGTGATACTTCAATGTCCGACATTGACTGACTCACTTAACACCACTGAGCCCAACTGGCGACTGCTGCTACTACTACTACTACTTATTATTATGTGTGGGAGAGTCTATTACAATAGAATAGGTATTATGGTATAACAGTATGCTAGAAATTTCAATTGTCTCTCTCTAAATGTCCTTTTTGTTTCCATTTCTGGAAATTTTCACCTTACTCACATGTTCAGTTCATGGTATCCTCAGCATTCTGTAGAACCATGTTTCTGTGGCCTCAAGTCTCTACTTCATCTGTGAGGAGATTGTCCAGCATTCACTGCGATATACGAGGACTGATATTATTTAATAGTTCAGTACTCTTTTCTTTATTTCTAAAAAAGTTTTCTTGTTTCTTAATACTTTACTTAGCTTTTGGAAGGCAACTTTTGCTATTTCAATGTGCCTTTGGATTTCGGTGTCATATTTTCCGTCCTCTGTTAAACAACCTTTCCCCTCCTTATTTCCCCAATGTTCTCCAAGAACCATGAGTACACAAGATAGATTGTTCAGTGTCATTCCACATAGATGAGTATACAGTGTTATTTATTTATTTATTTGTTGTTGTTGTGTGTGTGTGTGTGGGTTTTTTTTTCCGAAGTTTTTTGATGATTTGCTGGTGGTTGTTGGTAGCCCATCCATTTAAATCAACGTTATACTGGCCTTGAACTGCCGCTCAAATAAAAATGTATATTCAACCAAAGGAATTTTTGCCTGGAGCATTTTGAAGGTCACAGTAGCAAATTTGTTGAGCTTCATGTAAAATTTGATGCAGGCATGTTGCTAAAATGTTTTGCTACTAATTTAGCAAAACTGACTATAAACTGAAATAGCCAGGTCGTATATTAACTGTTCAAAAATATGAGATCATGGCTGACTGCTTGGGAATACCAGGTGGTGTAAGCTTGGATGTGCAGGTGGTGTAATGGGTAATGGCTTGGAATTGTTAATCAGTGAGCCAAATTCAAATTTCAGTTGGGTTTGTTATATTTACTTATGTGCAAATACCATTGGGAAAAGTATGAATTCACCTTTTCCTCCAGGTATGGGTTAATTAGTAAGACTATCAGTAAAACCATTATTATCCCCCACCCGCCCCCCAAAATTGTTACAATTTAAAAATATTTTCAGTAAGATGGTTTGATTTGGGGATTTAAATTCTTCAAAGAATTCGACTTTTAACTAATATAGTCACTAAAAATTATCACATTGAATTTCTCAACTTACATAAAATTAAGTGAGGTGAACGTAAAACAACAAAAAAAAAAAATTAAAATAATTTCATTCGTTTGTAGATAAGTCCTGAAAATTTCATTAAAATCTGACAATTACTTGATTTTTTACAAGATTTTTCATATTAATGTGTCTGCCACTGCAAAAAATAAAGAGGCTAAAATTTGCTATACTCAAAGTACAACTGCTGATGTAAGAAAAACAAGTTTTTTAATCAAAATTCTGAATAATCTAAGAAGGAGTAAAAAAAAAAAAAAAAAAAATCAGGTCATCCCATAAGTTCTGTTTGAATTTTGAATAAAAACAAGTGACCAAATGTTACATTTAATTACAGATTCAATCAACAATGTATTTTCCCTGATTATCTATGACTTCCTTCCATCTGTTAACAAGCTTACTAATTCCATTACTGTAAAATTCTTTTGGCTTTGATTCGAAGAACTCACAAATGTCAGTTTTAACCTCTTCCTGTGTTACAAAAGCTGTTTCTAGCAAATGATTCTGTAAGCTACCTGAAGGAGCAAGATCAGGAGAATAAGGTGGATGAGGAATTTTCTCCCAACCAAGTTCTTCGATCTTTTGTGACGTGATTCTTGCTGTGTGGGATCGCACATTGTCCTGATGAAACATCACCCCTTTTTGATTCACTAGAGCAGGTCTTTTTTCCTCAAAGCTTGGTTTAAACGCTCTAATTGCTGACAGTATATTTGAGCATTAATTGTTGCATTAGGTGGTAAGAATTCAAAGTGGATTATTCCTTGGCGATCCCACCAGATTAAAAGAAGAACCGTTTGCCCATGAAGTTCCCTTCTCAGCTGTGGCTGGGGTCCTTCCCCTTTACCAAGCCACTGTCTTCGACGTTTAACATTTCGATAAAAGATCCATTTTTCGTCACAAGTCTATCCAAAAAAAGTGAAACAAGTTGGTGAGAATGGAGAGAAGAGCAGATGTCAACTCGGGATTTGAGGTTGTTTTCAGACAATTCATGAGGCACCCATTTTCCAAGTTTAGGAACTTTTCCAAGTTGTTGAAGATGACGATGAACAGTTGTATGGTTTGAACTGAGAACCACTGCCAATTCCTCAACTGATAAAGCAGGATTTTCTTCAAGGGCTGCTTCAAGAAGCTTTTCATCAAACTCAACTGAACGTCCGGTTCAATCTTCATCTTCAAGGGTGAAATCTCCACTGAATTTTTGCAAACCATCTTCTGCAAGTTCTTTCATTCACACATTCCTCTCCATAAACTGAGTGAATGTTTCTAGCCGCTTCAGTTGCTGAGTTTCCTTTCTTGAACTCATAAAACATTATGTGCCTCAAATGATTCTTGGGTACTTACATGTTAGCAGGGTTTTAATCAAACAAAATTTAATTTTATTGTTCTCTGAAATAAAATTTGATCATTTTAAATGCATCTAAACATAAAAATAATGTTCAGCTCCATTAGACATTATAAAATACTCTTTAAATTTCGTTCATTTTAACAAAAAGTTAAAATTTGGACAGAACTTATGGGATGACCTGATAAATATTCAAAAAATACTTTGATTCTTCTTAATAATAATTTTCATTATGTTTGGATCATGTTTTCATCACAGTATGCAGATTTTTTATTTATTTATTTTTTTTTTATTTATTTTTTTTTTTTTGTTTAGCAATTTTGTGGATGTACCTACATAAATTTGTTCTTTTTTTTTTTTTTTATAATGATTATTATTTATTAATAGTGTTGATGAACAATTCAACAATGTATTTCCCATCATTGTTTATGACTTCCTGCCAATGATCTAGTTGTTCAATGCCTCGATGATAGAAATCACTAGGTTTTGAATTCATCAAGCTATATTTTAAGTTCCACATTGTTGACAAACAAAATACCCCCTAAATTGTCAGAAAGCAACTGAAATAGTTGATAGTCTGATGGGTCTAAATCAGGAGAATATGGGTGGGTCAGGAAGAAGCTCTCAACCATCTCTTTCTTTGAACCCATGACTAGCCAGTTGAGTGAGTAAACTGGCAGCAATGGAGGAGCACTGGAGTTTGTTTCTCTTGGTCAATGTGTGTGTGTGGCATCTATGCAACATGTGTCCGAACCATGTCCTTACCCATTGAGGGAAGCTGATGAGCAACAGAAATGAGAGATTACTGACTTCTGAGCCAATTCCACAATAGTCTGGCACAGTTCTTTAATCAACACTATTGTCTTAAGAAAAAAAAAATTTCTGATGGATAATGAATTTTTACAATAATTGTTTTCATTTTTTTTTTTTTAATTTAAAGTAATTAAAAATCATTTAAAATTCTGTATTAATTTCACCCCTTTATTTAAAAAAGAAATTTTTTTATCAGGGATCACTGCATGCAAGGTAACAAAGGCACTAAAACACAAGGGCTTACAGAGTTTGGAAGAATTAGGAACATAAACATTAATAATGAGTAGGAAGAGGAAAGAGTGATCAGGAGGACAGCAGATAGTGATTGACATTGCATTTAAATTTTTGCAGATTAAAATTGTCTGGAAGTTGAAAGGTAGTTTAACAAGTGAGAAGTGTGAGAAAAGAAAAACTGTTTTAGATGATATTATGAAGTGAAAACTATACTTAGTAATCATAAATGGAAAAGCTCAGGAGAAACCGTC